ATGTCTGTTGGGGGCTGATTATTCTTTTTGTAGCCTAGCACTACCAGACTAGCATAGGGACTGCTTGTGGGGATAATTGTTTTATTTTTTAACATTTTTCAATATGTTGCTCAATTATATCTTTATCATACCGCTAATGCTTTGAACTACAAGGGGTCATTATTTATGCATTGTTTATGCATTGTTTTATGTTGTACTGTTTGGGTTACATCCAGTTTATCAGAAAATAAATTAGATCAGTTCGTGCAATTTCTTGCTTTGGGAGAACTTGAAAGATGTGTTGTATTAAGTCCTTTTCAGGACACCATTGGTCATGAACCTACAGTCAGTTTTGATATGTCAAAATTTAGTTTAGTTTTCTCTCTATCCCTGCAGCTAAATTAACTTTCTTTCTCAAATTATATGTTTGCAGTATGTTCTGAATATTATATATGATAATATACTTGAATATCTTAACTTTTCAAAATGACCAGTTCATCTTGCACCCATGATTCCTCATTAAGGGTGTGGAGGGTCAGTTCTAATTATAAAGTGGAAAAAGAAGAGAAGAAATAAAAAATATGTAACTCAGGTCTATTTTTTTTTTCCTTTCTGTACCAAAGATTAAATTGGTAATAATTATAACAGTATAAATGCATTGTTTTTTAACACATTTATTATACCTTGTTTCTTCACTGAAAGTTAACGGTTGTAACTTCAGTGCAATTTTTGAAATAGGGTGGGGAGTTTTAAGCATTTAGCTTGTACTCTTGTCCTTTGATGCATATTATTTTTTTTAACTTTTTGCTGGGCATGAAGGAACTCAGTTTGCATTAGAAATTTATGATTGACAAATACTGCATGTATTTGGGAAGAAAAAATTGCTTAATCTCTCAATGGCCGAAGTGTTAAAGCTGTTTTAATATACAAGCAAAACAGTAATTTGATTACCGGCACTTTCTGAATTACTGGTAATTTCAAATTCTAGTTATTTACAAGTATAAAAAGTAAAATAATGTAAGGAACTGTGTAACTTTGAGTTCGTGCAAGTTGGGGCATGACAGTAATGTTACAGAATTTTTCTTCATAAATATTTAATTGGAAATCATGAAATCTGTAAAAATTCACAAAATTGTGAAAGATATGTCATAATACTCCCACTTTTTTTACTGATTTTACTGGCCGAAAATCAAGAGGGGGAAAATTGTGCAGCTAATTTAATTTCCAAAGGATGCAGTTACTGTAAGAACATAACAAATGAAAAGTAGTCATGAGTAAACTACAGGTGACTATCACAATACTATTACATTAAAAGAAACCTATATTACAATAAGGATGTATAGTACTTTCTACTTTTCTGTAAATTTAATCGCATCCATTCTTATTACTGTCTGTGCTATTCCTGACACTTAAAGTCCTCCATAAATGATCAGAAAAGGTGAATGTGCAATTCACTCAGTGAAATCATAGACTGGATGTCAGTTTATGTTTGCTTCTTTGTGATGAGTTGGTTCCTGTATTAAGATGGAAAAGTTCATTGTGACCTTTACAGGTAGCTGACAAGGCTGATTAGTAGGTTGGAAACAATTACTACATGAAAGAATCCATTTCTTATTTTCTGAATGCATTGAGGAAGCAGATTTGATATTTTTAAATGTTACAGAACCTGCCTTTAAAAAAATAGGGGGGATATGCGAGAAAATACGATATGTATTTTTCAGTGTAAGCAAATAGAAAAAGAAAATGGGATCTTTTTTCTATATCATATTTGAATGAAACAAATTCATTGAATTTGTACAGTAGAAGGGATCTTTTGGCTGTGAAATAAACACAATAAAAGCTTTTATGTAATAAATTTCCATTTCCTTGATCATTTTCTTAGCTCTAATTAGCTAATTTGGCATTAATAAAGGTTGACAAATTTAAATTTGTGGGAAGATATTATATTATGAGATATTTAATATATTACAGTACAAAGTCTTAAATCCGGATGTCCATCATCCAGAATATCTAAAATCCAGACCTCAAAGCCACAAACATTTTTCTTATTTATTAATGATTTACGCATGCACATTTGATTTTTTCTTCCATAATAACACATGTGGAGATTTTCACTTAAAAATTCCGATTCTTAATTTTACTTAAGCAATAAATAAAATACCTTGTTATGGAAACACAATCATGTAAGAATAAATTTGTGAGATTAATAATTTGGCTTTGTAGCTGAGTATCTACTTGACATACATCTCAAACCGAAACATTCACCTATTTTATATCCCTGATGCCGACTTGGCGAGTCATTATTTATTATATTTTGCTTTCATCACTGCATGTTTATCAATACATGACAGCTTCAGTAATAACTCATGCTATGATGTCTAAACTTAGTAATTGAATAACAAGAGTATGGCAAACTTTTATGCTAACATTACACTTAGCAATGATAATAGATTTTTAAATGTTCTAAGAAATGTTGATGAGGAAAAATTCAACAAAATTTGCTTTTTGTATGCTAAAAATAGATTTTGTTAATGAAACTCATAAGCCAAAAAATTACATTTAGTGCTATTTTGATTAAGAATAACTGATATATTATTTACCATAAACCCAGAAACGGCAGCAGAATATGTCGGCATCGGATGGCAGAATTTAGGGAAGACACAATTTTTAAAATTTGGGGAAGTGCCGAGCGGCAAAATTAAGGGATGAGAAGTATTTATGATTTAGGGAAAGCACTGGGATCCAATGTTTAGGCACGGTGAAAATTTAGACCTTAAGAAAGCACTTTGTAGCAGAATTTAGGACTCGTAGAGACTGCACCAGGCAGTATTGAGCACCGGCCCTAGATAAAGCCTTAAGTATATGTGGGAGTTTATTCAGGACTTGGATATTAGTTTGAAGTATGTGCAAGAAATAAACATAGGTGTAGTAAATAACTAAACTAATATCAATTCAGGCTTAATTCCAGTACGCAATAGAAGCAAGACAAAATTTAGTAAAACAACTTCGCTTTTGTCGCCAATCTTGCGATATACAGCCAATAATGAATAACGGATGCTATTAAGCTAGGCTAAAATTATCTTTAATGATTATGAAGCATTTCAACTAATATAACAGAATGAGTTGCTCCCTGATCTTCTAATTTGATCCAGCTTACTATTTTTTGCAGACTGTTATTATTACAGCAATTTCATAAAAACTAAGCTTGAACTTTCGATTATGTTGAAAAGAGTTTTCCAATTCTGGAGTTGCCAGAAGGATTCTACAAAGTGAAACCATGTTTCAATGCCTATTAAACAAAAAGCGGAATGGCTGCAAATGGAATGGCTGCTTACATTAAAAGAAATGTTTAATAAAGTAAATAAATAAGTATTAAGACTTCTTTTGTAAATTTTGATACCCTTTAGATCATAATTGTTCTTTATTTCATAAATTACGATTTTATAGTTTTAATTGTATAATTTCTGCATGCCATTTTACCAGATTTAAATTGATGATCTATTATCCAGAAAAATCCCAAATCAGGAATCGCCGAAGTCCCGACCAGTCCGGATTTTTGACTTTGTACTGTTTTTATTTTATTTATTATACATTTATTCACCTTCAGTATATTATCATACATTTTGTATTATTCTTCACTGTACAATAAATAAAGAGACTTTGTGGAATAAAAAATAATCAGTCATTTAATAATTGTTTCATCCAGAAAGTTTTGCATTTTTTTGACAATCAGTACAAAGTGAAGCAGTACAAAAACATAAAATTTTATTCAATCACATGAGCACCATTTCGTTCTAGCACTTTTTGCCATTTCTCTGGTGGCTGGAAATTTAGAATTTTTAAAAGTTACTTATAACAACGGTCTCAAACTCAAATTGCATGCAGGTCGGAATGCACAATCTGAAAGTAGATGAAGGGGCAGATTTTTTTTAAACAAAATTAAAGAATTTATTAACAAAATAAAAAAATAATTTTAAGTAAATTTTAATTTATCAAAACATACATTAAGAATTATAATAACATCACAAAGGGAAAGAATTCACCTGAAATCTAAAGTTTGGTACCTATAAGACTTTTGTTGATTACCCTTTGTAATTCAAATATATTGACAAGCTAATATAAAGCTAATAATGCAAGTTAAATATTAAATTCTTAGATTGACATTTCTTTTAGATAATTCTAGCAATTAAATAACTTACTGTAATTTGAATTAAAAATAAACAACTTATGAAAGCTTTCCAAGTTTTCAGAGAAAATTTAACAAGTAGGACAAAACTTAAGAATAAATAATGGCAACCTAGTCTTTTTAATCTCATTTATTATTTTTTCTTCAATACATAAATAAAAATATATGTGTATTTGTATGTGAGTGATGATTAATATCTTTACTTCTTGCTGTAGCATGAAACTTGGCGGTGTCTCAATTCTAATCAAGTTTGTAGCCTTGTAGAGAAATTATAGAAATTATCTTCTTTACAGATTGTAAATGCTCATGGGTCATTTGCATTTTTTTCGTTTTAATTTTCAGCTGTTGGGAGGGGGACTCTTTCCAAGCCAAGTGATTATTTTTAGTGCAAAAATTCATTACTTGAGCATATTTATTTTTTGCCAAGTGTGAATAAAAGTTAAAAAAAGTCTTTATGTACAAATCCTTGAGTAAGATTTATATCACATTGTAATTAGTTCTATTTATAAATTTTCTGGTGCTTTATTTATTCGTTTTTGTTTTAATAAATTAAAATAACACAAACTTGGATTTCAAATAACTAAAACTTTAAGTCATTCAACAGCACATTTGTAACAAATACATAATTCAAATGTTTTCACGGGCCATATAAGATCACTTAATGGACTGCATGGGCCATTAGTTTGAGACCGTTGACTCATAAAGTTATCTATTGATGTATGTTTCTGGTGTTTTACAGATTTTACATCATCATCTAATGTGATTTCTGGGTTGTTATTTTATTTGTATTGCTGTTAGTAATATAAAAATCTTTTTTTTTTTTTTTAACTATTAGGAAATGCAGAAACGTAGGGAAATGCTGCTAATGGTTGATTTGGTATGTAAGAGTTATAGGTGTTTTGTATGCTGTATGTTTGTGTATACTTGTGTTGTACAAATGCATGTGAATTTCTGTGAAGACTTATGCTCCCTTATGCTTCTTTATCCTGTAATTTTTCTCCCTTCAACTTATAATTTCTAAATTGTAAATTTTTGTTAAAAGCTGGCATAAAAATTATTCTAAGAAAAATAATACTTTATGTTCTCATTAATATTCTATTAATGTAAACATATTGTTTTCCTACATTTTTGCATTTTCTTGTTTATATAAATTTTTATTCTGAATTTTATTCTCTCACTAAACACTATCCCTTTATGTAGCAGTGTTAAGTTTTTATTCTCTGTGTATGTGCACTGCATGTTGTCTTTCTCTCTTCTTAAAAAAAAAAGAAGTTTTATTAGCCTCATGCATTGCTTTTTGAATTTATTAGCTATTATTTATGAAATGTTATCCAAAAATTTAATGTTATTAGTATTTGATATTATTGGATTGCAGTGAGAATTTATGTTTTTATGTACTGCTTTATGTCTTCTTGTCATATATTCTTCTATAAATAAAAATATTATAAGTTTATCATCTTCAATATTCACATTCCTGAGATTTCCCTTTATCTGATTTTTGTTAATTTCATTTTTAATCAGTTCAAAGTAATAGTTTAAAAGCCACTAAAATTCCCTTCATAGATTTTGGCTTATTTTTAGAAATTAATCTTCTGAATGATAGTTATTATTAGATAGTCTGATAAATTTAACATAATATTAAGTAAAAATTGATAAAAACTTAAAAGAAATAGGTATTACTTTTATAAATAAACTTAGTGCCTTTTTATGCTTAGAGTTTTAAATCATTAATATTTGTTAATTAATTTTTCTACTAAGCGTATCATTTTGACAGCTAAGTTTTGAGAAGTAACTGTTTTGACTTTTCTCACATATTATTTATTTTTTGTTTAATATGTGTATCTGTGTCTGAAAAGGAGATGTGTGAAATCCCTTAAGATAATGCTAGGTTATCTTTTCTTTGTTTATTTAACTTCTTTATATAAATAAAGAAATAATTAAGCCATGAATATATCGGGGTTCGCATGACCCTTAAAAGTCCTTAATTTCATTGAAAACTGGAAAAAGGTCCTTAATTTTACTCATCAGACATTTCTGACCATTATTTTATGACTGCTAGTTTGGGTGTGAATTAAAATTTCAGAGGAATATCTTTTGGTGATGCGTTGACCAAAAGATATTCATATATTTGGTTGGTTAACGTTTGAATTCTTTTAAAATTATGTGGCTCTAAATTTGGCAATCAAGATCAGTTTGTACACGAAATTTTTTATTCAGAGATTTGTGAAATTTTGATGATTTTTCTTACAAACATAGTGGCATTGATAAATATCATAAAAATAATGATAATTTATAAAAATTAAATTAAAGTGTAGTCAAAATTTTCTTGTGGCTCTTAGTTCCATTAGTTGTATACTTGAATGTAATAAGTTCTTGTGAAACTCGGACAGTGTATGCAAGCTCAAAAATGTATTCTTGCTCAGAATTAAGCTATAAATGAAGTTTTGTGTGAAAAGCATAAATCTTGTTAATAGCTGATCTTTCATTACTTTTGGAAACACAGTATGTTATTGGTTGGTTGAATTCTTTTTCAATAAGAGTTTGGTAGAGCTTCTTAGAGATGATTCTGAAATTATTTCTTGCTTTGTCTATTTTGTAATAGTGTACTTGGCCTTATGCTCAGAAATTTTCTTTTTTATCATTGGTCAATGAATTAAACCTTTAAAAATGAATTCTGTTAATTGCTAGTGTGAGCTTAAAATTTCTTGTTACCATTCCATAAAAGTATGAATGGGAAGACTTAGTTTAAAACTAGTATTAAAAATGAGATCATCAGTGTTGCCTTCAATGCTTTTAATGCAAAGAGGAAAAGGAACTGTGCTTACTGGCGTAAATTTAGTTTCTTTTCCATACTCTGTCTTAAGGAAGAATTATTAAGAGTATCAAGATTGCCATTAATAAGATGGTATTAGTAAGAATCTAAAACTGGAGTTTAAATTGGATCTTAACAATATCAAGATGCAGCTACGTCTTCTTCTTAATGGTTGGTAATCCAGTTAGTGTTTTAGTATACTTGAAACAAACCTGCGTCTTCGACTCTATTGCAGTAAAAAGGGTTTGCAGTTTTTCAAAAAATATTTTGAAAATTGATATTATCAAAGTAAGAATGTAAGAAGTTAATTTTACAGAAAAAAAGTTGGTAGCTGTCTTTTTTACTATTTTAAGTTTAAATTTAACAAAATCTAAAATAAGGTCTTTAGTAATTGATAGACTATTATAAGCATTCTTGAAATAATTTTGAAGAATATTTAAAATTGAAAAATTATATAAATAGGACTTAAAAACAGTATTCTGCATAATTGCTGCAGAGATGGCATAAAATAATTATTTGCTTAGTTGAGATGTTAACAGGCAAAAAAACAAGCTAAACAGACAAAGAGTGATAAAAAAATTGAAATATACTCAAATTTAAAAAAAAATAATTGAAGTTTCTGGAATCTAATAAATTATATATATATATATATATTATTTTTTTTCATAAAGCATTAGAAACCTCATCAAGAATTTAAAATAGTTCCAAAATTTTGAGAAAAAACTTTTTAATATCTTCTCAGCATAAAATAAATTATATTCTTTAACATCAGACTGAAATTTCTGAATTGCATAATATGATTCAATTGATAAACATCCAGTTTTTTAATGAGATGTTTAAAAAAAATTATTAAGATGCAGTCCGTACCATGACTATTAAAAATAGGATTTATTTGCATCTCTAACCTTAAGTCGCCTTTTCTCTCAAGATTAATTTCGTTCATAGGAATTTTCTTGCTCATGGAAGAATTCTATGTTTGAGCCCATTCATTAAGTGTTAGGTACAAGCTGTTATAATAACCCTTTCATCTAGCCAAAAAAATAGTTTGTTTAAAAGTTTTATTATTATTATTTGTAATTAATTATAAATGTTACTATTTCAGGAAAGGGAAAGACGGCGTCAGCATATGATTTTAGTTAGAGCTCTAGAAAACAGAAAAAAACAGGAGGTATGTTTCTAAAATAGATAGATCTCTTCACTAACTTGTTAATGTTATTCCAAAATGTTGTTATGTATTGTTAACTTTTAAGGTTATCAGATTATTGCATTTTACAGAAATTCTGTATAAAATTTACATTATATTATATGTAAGAACATTTGTATTAAAGAAACTTTGAAATTTTTTATATTGATTTCTGTATATTTTATTTTACTTGGGCAGTATTTCAAATGGAAATTTCTGACATAGTATCTGCTATCAAGCATTTTTGTCCTAACTGGTATTTTTTATTCTTAGGAGAGAGAAAGGAAACGAGAAGAAATTTTGTTTGAAAAAAGAATAAACAGAGAAAAGGAAATGGTAACTAAGAGATATTTATTATGCATACTCCTTGCATTTAAAACATCTTAAATTCCTCTAGATTGATATCCCATTGAGGGTTCTGGAAATTTATGAGAATTAAGTAATTAATATTGCAGTATCTTTTCAAATTTTATTTTTTAAGTATTAGATCATCCGAAATGTTCCTCTTTTTTTTTTTTTTTTTTTTTTTTTTTTAGTCCAAATGGGCTATTTCTCTGAGGGACTATTGTTTTCATTTTGCAATTTTGCATCGAATCACTCAAAATGTCTATTTCACTTTTCAAACTGTTGCCACCAAATATTATCATCTTGTATTATATTTGAAGAAATTAAATGATGAAGAATCTGCATAAATGTATGTATGTTTCTCATATTGTGATAAAACAACGGTACGTAGAGCCGTCAAATTTTGAATGACGTAATTCTACTGTGAATATGGGCATCTGGAAGGCCAAATTTGGAATTTGTTTTATTATCAATTTCATATTTTGTAAAACTTAACGAATTTTTGATTAAGAAACTCAAGGATTTCAAAGTGAGTAATGGCAACGCTGTACAGGAAAAACATTTTTATCTCCGGCTCGTGAGACTATTTATCTGAAATTCTCAAGATATGCTCAATTTAAAACTATTTTGCTATATTGTTCTTGAACTGAATTTTATGGTTTAAGTTCGAAGAACATGATATTTAATAAATAATGGTAACACACAAAATGTTTAAAAAAAGAACGTAATTTAAAATCTGAAAACTTTCTTTCCTTCTCTCTTTTTTTTTCTTTTTTTTTAAGATTGCAGTGTGTTCTTCTAATTATTTTGTTTGATAAGAAGTAACCTTCATTGAAGCATATGTTTAAATTCAGTCTTTTCTGCTTCTTTTGCATAATTCTAGCATGTGTTGTGAGATAATTTTTATTTTCAATGCATTGCAAAGAATGGAGAACTAAAAAAAAATAATTCTTTTTTTCCCTTATTATGCTCTTTTAATATTTTTCCTAACAAAAGTTTTCTAGCCAGGCTGCTTGTAAAATTATTGAAAATATATGAAAAAAATCCTGTTTCTTATGATACAGTTCAAAGATACCTCAAGAAGCTGAAGTTCAGAAATTTCAGTTCAAAGATAATACCCATTCTGTGCACCCATCCTCTGTAAACAAGGACTTATTAAAGGAAGCTATTGCTAGATATTCACATTATACATATCAGGAACTATCAGAGAAACTAAATATTTCAAAAAATACAGTGTATGGTGGGAAGAAAATGGTATTTAAACCATCGTTATGTATGGTTACCTCATACTTAGTAGAATATGCTGAGAGTTTTGGCAAGAATCTCCTTTTTTGAAATGGCTCATTGCTGGGAGTGAGAAGTGGATACTACACAGTAATATTACAAGAAAAAGGTTATAGGGTAAGGAAAAAAAAAAAAAACCCTCCTTTAGTAATATCAAGAAAAGAGTTATATCCCAAAAACTAATGCTTGTGTATGATGGCATTACGAAGGAATTCCCCTGCTTGAATTCTTGACAGCAATTGAGACAATAAATTATAAAAAATAATGTGTCTAAATGGCATTTTGAAAAGCAGAAATCAAATCAAAATGCCTAAAATTTGTCAGTTATCAAGTGTTGTCTTCCATAATGACACTAAGCCCCATGTTTTAATGAATGTCGATAAAGATTATTTGAGTATGAATAGGATGTTTTGTGTCACCTTCCGTATTTACAAACTTTGTCCCTTTGAATTTTCATCTCTTCTAATCACTTCAGAATTCTCTGAATGGCCTGGAGCTTACTTCTTTGGAGACTGACAAACAGCGCCTTGATAACTTTTCTACAAATAAATCTAATGGCTGTTTTTTAAACAGGATTTTCTAGTTTCCAGAGAGATTGAAAAAAAGTCATAGAACTAAGTAATGTGTATGCAATTTAATGAATTTTGTAAATATTTTCGTACTGCTTCATTTGTATTTACCAGCAAAATCTCACAGAACTTTTCAGATGACCTACTATGTCACAGTTACATTCCAACTTCAACATAGCTGCCAACTCTTGTGGTTTACTGTCATATCTCCTGGTCTCCCAGTACCCCACCAATCTCCCATTTTTTAAAACTTTTTTAGCTCCTAAGGCAAATATTCCTCAGCAGTCAAAATAATGAAACTCAAATTATGCAAATTCTGTTGTCCCACTTCAAGGGATTTTCGGCATAATTTTTCTCATTAAATTTTATTTCATATGAACTGTCTTAATCTTCTAATCTAATTTGTAGGGCTTTTTTATAAATATTACTACAGTTTTTAATCAGTTAATATTTGTATTTAATTGTGTTTACATTAATGTATGATGCAGTACTAAGTTTATCCGCAAAGCAATATATGAATTAATTATTAGTTCAAAGGGGCTTTGTCCCTAAGGGATTATTGTTTTCTTTTTGTGATTTTTCCTCAAAGCACTCTGAATGTCCATTTCACTTTTCAAACTGTTGCCACCAAATATTAGTGCCTTGTATTATATTTGAAGAAATTAAAATAATCTTTTCAGATTTGAAGTTTGGATTTCTAGGGTATTTCATTTATGCTGTCATGCACAGTAATGATATTTTCAGTAGACCAGCTGGATCAAGGGCGTGGTGCTTTAATGTGTACTGTCAAACTTAGATCATCAGATTTTCTTTATTGATCTACACACTATTGTTTCATTAGGTGCACGTTTCAAAGATTATACAAAACTTCTTAGTAGTCTGTGTATAACACTTTTCATTGTTATAATGAGTTTTCACAATCAAAATCTGATGTTCCTTTGTGTAACTCTCAATGTATGCTAAGCTAGTATTGGAGGTATATTAAATTCAACACTTATTGGGTCACTTGAATTTCAAGAACACTTAGAAGAAACAGATCGGGGATATATATGCATGAACAATACATGAAACAGCAGTTGATAGTTAGATACTTTGTTATTGAAGTAATGCCAGTAAAACAAGAAAAGGGAAAAGTACTGAAAAAGAATAATTTTCTCTTCTTATTTAGCTAACTGTAAATCCTGCTTGATTGTTAACTGTAAATCCTGAACCATAAAATGCACTTCTGGCAGAATCGTATGCAAGTGTTTACTAATCCTCGTTGCATATGGAATGAGACCCTTCAACTGGTCTTCGCATCATGTCTGTGTGCATGTACAGACACAGCTGTAAAAACTGTAGAATTTTTACAATAGTAGTTCTTAAAAGCAGTTCCGCTGTCTACTAGACCGACCTCCATCCTTTTTGTGTGTGTTATGAAATAGTCGAGAGAACAAATTCTAAGAAGCATCAGACGAGACCATTGCTCTGATTGTCTTAAAGATAGTTTCAGTTTATGGTAACATGTGCCCTTTCAGGGGCAAAATTTTTTTTAATTTAGAAAATTTGGTTTCATTTTCTCAAAACCGCTGCTAAAATTGAATTACTTCTTAAAGCTGATAACAGATGTCAGCACTAAACCTTTTTGGGCATCCATTAATTGATATGAATCGTTCAAAAATATCTTGTTTTTGTCATTATTCATTTTGGGCTATTTTAAGAACAAAAAACCAACAATTTTTAATTTTTCCACAATATATTTTAAAGGCATCAATGATTATGAAATGTCCTTATTTCCACACAAAATAATGGAACCCCTTTTAATTTTGAATGTTTTCAGCGCGGTTTCAATATGAAACCACCACCCCTCTGAGACATCGAAGAAAGGATCAAAAGACGCAGTCGCGAGATTTTTTACAGCTGCGTTTATTGTTTTGGGATCACTGCTGTAAGCAGTTGCACCATATCTTCCTTTGAGTGGCTTCAAAGATGAGGATTTATGGAGCTTTTCAGAGAGGGAAAACATTTCCTTATTTTTTACAGAGAGACAGAGCACACTGAAGAACACTCACAGTTGCGCGTTTTTATTCTGCTTCTCTTCGCCATCGCTTTTCTCATTCTTCTAGTTCATATTAAAATATTTGTATACATCTAAATTTATTTTATTTCCATATATAATTGTCTTAGTTTTTAACATAATTTTTAAAATTATTTTCTAGTTTTATGTAAGTAATTTAGTGCATTATTAGTTACTTTTTGTCTCTTCCTGTTTAAAATTTTTTATTTATAATTAAAATGCGTGTTTGCAAATATTACTTACTTCATTAGTTGTTCGTAATTTACTATGTAATCTGCAATGTGGGTTACGTTCAAATACTTTCCAGCAAAGTAAATAAATAAGCAAATTCTTAGTCTTAAATGCTCTAGACGGGCGCTGGCAAGGCGAAACCGTCCCCTTCCATAAAGGGACACCAAAAATTTTTTTACACTCATTTATGTTGTCTATAGGACCATTTCATGTCATTATGCTTATTTTTCAGAACTTTTTAAAATCTACATTGCGCCCCTGAGGGTTAGCTTATATCAAAGAAGTGCAGTTTTTTTTTTCCCTTTTTTCATTTGTAAATATCGCAAAAACTTTTGGTGCTCCCTTATTAGTAATATTTATATAATCAAAAATTATAAATATATATATATATTTATCCTCATATAATATACTAAATACATATGTATTTATTAAATTCTATCATTGTATTATTGAATCTCTGTAGATTCTAGTGAGGGTATATAATAATATCATAAAAGTACTTTTGCTGTTCATTAATATTTTTCATGTCTCTGTTTATTCTTTCAGACAAAGCGATGAGGTTGGGGATTTTCGAGAACAAGAACCAGTCGATGATATGATGCTGAAAGATCTCATTGTAAGTGGATAAAATTTTTGTTTCATTGAGACTTTTTCTGCAGTAACTATTTCACAATGGCACAATAACTATTCATTACTGTGCCTCTTTGAAATAATGGATATTTATATATTATTGCAACAACTTTGATGTTGTTTGTTAATTTTTTCAGAAACAATAAGAATGGTGACTTAAAATTTAAAAAAAAAAATTATATTGTAAATAGATATGTATTTATTGATCGATCAATCTTCCATGAGTTCTAGCGCAATGGTAATGTGCAGAATGCATGAGCGAGTCATAACTACAGTATTTATTTAAAGATGAGCAGTTCGTGTTCGTGGCATTACAGACAGAATTTTTCTCTCCTCCACATTGATTAAAACATTGTCTGCATGTAGCACCATCTACAGTCAAAAGTCGTTAATCTGGACTCGTTGGGACTTCGGCGATTCTGGTATAATATCAGTTTAAATCTGGTAAGATGGCATGCAAATGATAAAATTAAAATAGAACCGTATTTTGAATAAAGAACATATGATCTAAATGGTATCAATTTACAAAAAAAAGCTTAATATTTATATTTTTACTTTACTTCTTCGCTAACGGAATGAATTAATATGACTAGGATTTGATTTAATCATACAAAATGGAACTCGAGAGAAATTACTTTTTAGTAGGAAGTATAAGCCAATACAATAAAATCTTCCCTAAATAGAATAGGCTGACCATCAACTTCAATTCATTGCACGCCGGCGTCCCCCCCCCCCCCCCCCCGCGACATGAAATATGGAATGGTTAGATACCAAGGATATGCCTTTTATTCCAATTCCATTTTTGTTTATGACTTCGAAACATCGTTCCTTTGTGATCCTTTACATATTGTAAATATATCGTAATTCTTGTGACATAATCGAAGTTCACTTACTTTTAAAATTGCTCTAACGTCTGCAAAAAATAATAGCCGATCCATTCGACGATTAAGGAACAATCATCTGCACGTTACGAACTGAATTAGATAATTTAGTTAGCTTTACGTCCGTTAACTTAAACGTGCATGCCACACACATATTCGCAGCCTAAGGTCCTACTGCATCGTCAAGCCGACGCATACCAGAAGTTGTGCTTGAGGTCCGGATTATGGGTGTCCGAATTAATGACTTTTGACTGTATACATAAAAATTCTCTACAATATTATTATGTACATATTTTATAATTTGTACTTTTCCAAAAAGTTAAGATTCATCTTAATTTTTTGTTTTATTTATTTTAATGGAAATTTTTCCATGGCTGCTTTAAGAATAAATTCAAAGCAGACGTTAAGTGATTTTATGGGAAAATACTATATTCTTGCAGAAATTTTACAAGAATTTCTTCCATTGCAGGCAGATCCCAAAAGCACGTACAGTAGATGCTGCTTAGTGTGATTGCAGTTAATGTTTTCATGCAGATTGTCAAAGTCTCGCCTATTTATATGCAAAGCTGTAAAAAATACATCACATTGTGATTAATAATTGGATTAATATGATAAAAATAATATAGAATAAATCTTTAAACTAAAATAAAGTCACCAAAGGAAAAGCAATGTCACCAAATAAAGTAAAAATGGGTTTTAAAAATTGACAAATGGCAGAGAAGTGCTGGAGAGAGGAATTAAGTTACAAATATCTTAGTTTTGATTTCATTCAACCATTTAAAATTAAGCAAAAAAGCAACCTTATAGTTTGGTTTAGATTTTGGGAAACTGTCAATTTTAAGGGCGATCAGAGAGGTCTTCAGTTGAAAAAGCATTTCTGCAGGAATTTTTCCTGACCCCACCCCCTCACATGAAAATAAACCTGAAAACATATATACCAAACTAAGACTGCTTTTTTTGCTTGTTTTTAAATTTTACATTGGCACTTTCTCTTCCAATGAGCTTTTGCTTTAGACATTATGAACAATTTACAAACAAATTTTTCTGTTTTCGTAATTAAAATGCTGTGAAATGAATATGCTTCTAATAATATATATATTAAATTAGTTCATTGCTGTTTTGAAGGGCATTTTTTCTCATTGTTTTATATTATCATTCAGTTAATGCTATCAAAATAGCTTTGGACAAATATGATTACATTAAGCAGCACCTAATATAGTTTAAAATTGAGTTTGATACCAAAAAAAAAAAAAAAAAGGTCATGATTTTTCCATAAAACCATTTGAATAAAACAAGAGAAAAAAAGAATGCATATAAATAAGGCATCAATGCGTGATTCAACTACAGAATTATTATGTGCATCATTATCAGATATTTGGCACACTTTGTAAATTTGGTGACCTTGTAGCTATGTTGGTTGAGTTAATATGTATATATTAATAAATGTGTATGTTCTGCTGATTTTGAAAATGAAATTATGTTGGTAACTTATGCCTTATTTTTTAACTAACTGCATGATGTGGAAAACATTCCTTCCTTTTTTGAAGTAGTTGAGAGTAACCATAGCAAAATTTTTTATTTCTAATATTTCTTTTTATAGCCTCTTCCAGAATTAAATCGAATACCAGGGGTCAAATTATGTGGCAAAGCATTTGCTGATACTTTGATGGTGTTTGAATTCTTGCATAATTTTGGTGAAACATTAGGATTTGGTAAGTACATTTGTTTTTCCTTCTTATTATTACAATGAAATGTGTCTGAATGTACATCACTGTTGAGATTTGTCTTCGAATCTTTTTCTCTCTTCTCAGTCAATTTTTCTTTCTCTCTCTTTTTTTACTTCCTTGTGTAAAGTAAAGGAAGTATTTTAATCACAAAAAATTCTGGCTGTCATATTTCAATGAAAATATTCATCTTGACCACTATTAAATGCAATTTAATGATGTTTTTGCATGATATCTGTACATATGGACAGAATAAAGGACTTTTCCTTCAAATGTGTTATAAAATTGATTCAAAACAGATCAGAAGAGATCCATTCGTGACATCTGTATATACATACGTATGTATGTATCTTGCATAACTCAAACACAGGTAGCCTCAGATTGTTGAAATTTTGTATGTAGGACTGCTTATATTAATTGTGCACCTCCCTTTTTGGTTGCAGTCAGCCTCACCAAAAGTTTATATATATATGTATATATGTATACCTACTCTGTTATTCGGCTGGGTGAGCTCAATTTTTTTTTTATTCTTATATATTGGTAAATTCTGCATTTTTTTGCTTTAAAAGTGATTGAATTATGCTGTTATCTTCCTGTTAAAGTTTTTATGCCTTTATTTAATCTGCATGCAATAGTTATAGAATTATCAACAATTTAAAAATTGTTTATGTGCAGCTAAGCCTAATTTTTGTTTACCATAGCAGCCATATTTGTTTACATTTGAAACTTAACAGAATAGAGAATAATGGTACCAGAAGTAAACTTTCAGTTTTGTGCACCGAAAAAATCTGCCTTGTTGCCTGCTGGACAAATTGCATGTTTTTGTGTAGAAACTCTAGTTTTAATTATAAAAATTGTTTTTAAGTGTATTTGGTGTTTTATTTTATTTTATTTTATTTTATTTTATTTTTCTATATTTTTAACTTTTTAATGAAGATATTTTGAGGTTTTATATATTTTTTCCTTACTGTGAAGAACTGAATTAATTGAATTAGAAATCTGTCTAATGAAATTCGAGGAAATAAGTCTAAATGAAATGCAGCAAACAATGTGTATAATCTAATATTCCGTACAAGAAAGTCATGTGGTGCGCACATCAGATTTTTTTATATATATGAACATGTAGATTTTCCCCTTAAGTGCATGAACTCTCTTATTTTTCCCATTAATATATCAAAAAGTCATTGAAAATTGAAATTCCTTCGATTGCATTTCGATTTTTAGAACAGAAAAAACATTATGTTTCTCTGTTATCTTTGTTTTTCTTTTACTGTCTGCTGTTCTGCACTTTCAGAAAAAATACTTCTGTTGTTAATTAATCCACTAATACTTTTTCTTTAAAATTGTATCATCAGCAGTATCTTTAACAATCTTAAGAACTGAAGTTTTGTTTTCATTTGTGTATTAGCTAAAAAAACATGTGGTGCAAAATTTGCTTATATTGGGGGGGGGGATTTTTAAAAACAAAACAAATTTTAACATTGAGTTCTCCCTACCCTTTTTTTGTGAATTTTGGCTTTTTTAAGGTCATAAATGATTCATTATTTCAGAAACAACTATTTCATATTTTTGATTTCTGCATGTAATTGTACTCGATTTGAATTGGTGACCTAAAATCTTAACATTCCATCAGAGATTTTTTAAAAAACTGCTGTATCGTGGTGTAGACGACATCAGTCTCTCTTGGAATGAGATGACCAAGAAATGTTTGAAAGGAGTATGAAAGAATGTATGGCTGTAGTTCGGCGTAGATGGTGATGTAAGCAAATCCATTGTTGAATGTTAACAAAATTGTCAAGCTAGCTAATATAACTCATGGTTGTGTGATATGAATTTTGAAGGATGTGGAAGCATTATTGCAAATTATAATTGGTGAATGTCCCTTGAATTAGTAGAACAGTAAGCGCTTAAAGATGTCAGAATTAGTATTTCTGAAGTTCAACTTCAGAAACATTAAATTTTGATAGAAATTCAAAGGCAAGATAAAGTATCATTAATGCAGTGTACTACTTATTGAAGGAAACAGGCAAAACAATCAATGTTAGATGTCTTCTTCTTAAAAGAAAAAAAAAAATGTGAAGTGAAAAGAATCCTCATCAGAAATTTAATTCAAACTTCATAAATTTAATTAACAAGAGAAGTATTTTTTCCATGAATGTTTGAAAAAAAAATCGATATTAGCAATAAACAAGTTTATAATTAATGTAAGAAAAAAGTATTTAACGATACATTTTACGAAATTTAAAAAAAAAAAAAAAAAAAAAAAAAAAAAAATCAGTCTTCTTATTAGTCCAAAGGGGCTTTGTCCCTGAAGGACTATTGTTTTCGTTTTGCGGTTTTGCGTCGGACTCATAAACGTCGGTTCACTTTTCAAACTGTTGCCACAAAATGTTAGAGTCCTGCATTATTTTGAAGAAATTAAATAATAAAAATCTGCATAAATGATTGTCTATTCTCGCATTGTGATAAAACAATGGTACATAGAGCCATCGAATTTTGAATGACGAAATCCTACTGCGGAATATGGGCATCTGAAATCCCAAATTTGGAATTTGTTTTATATAGATTTTAATATTTTTTAAAACTTTAATAATTTTGATTTACAAACTCAATGCTTTAAAAGCGAGAATGGCAACGTTATATAGAAAAAAAATACTTTTATCTCCAGCGCGCAAGACTGTGTATATCGGAAATTCTAAAGATATGCTTAATTTAACATTATTTGCGATATTGCTCTTGAACTGAATTTTATGGTTTAAGTGCAAAGAACATGATATTTAATAAATAAAGGTAACACTCAAAACGTTAAAAAAATGCCCCTTTGGACGTAATTTAAAATCTGAAACATTTCAGTTTTTTTTTTTTTTTTTTATCTGTTGTGTTCAATTTATTCCCATCATTTACATGTTAAGATGACCTCATGTAATGCTGTTTCCTTTAGTGTGGAAACTTTTGCAGAGTCTTAAGAAAACTAACTCTTTCAGTCCTAATGGGCACATGCATCCCAGAGATTAGATTTCATACCCGTTTTTGGATAAAAGGGTAAAATGGGTTTTTACATTTTCAGTATTTTTAAGGAATTAGGGAATAAATATATGACTAAAGAAACCTGACAACACTTTTAGATTGCAGATGGCACACTTATGTTTTTGAGCACACCTATTACTCAATTTGTCTACTTTTTTTAAAATTTTACAGTAAGAAAAATTATATTTAAGGCATGCTTAGTATGAAATAGGTCTTATTAATAAGTAATTTAACATTTTTAATGTCAGATTTAAGAAATTTTGAATAAATTCTTTTTGTGGGATATATTGTCCCAATCATATTTAACAGAAGGCTAATATGTCCCACCGGTGATCAAATTACTACATGCTGATGCATTATGTTTGTGTTTATGAAACATGTGTGAAAATTTCTGTTGTATATGAACTAGTGCATGTGGCAGAGTTTATGTTTTGTAATATTCACATAATATAGAACCATAAATTTTAGTTTGGGTTTCTGAGAAAGGGTAATATCCTAGATGATTGGGACATATAGTCTCAGGAGACTTCTAGGAAACAGGAAAAGGTGAAACTTATATTACACTTCTTTTAGTATATCAGCATTAAATTAAATTACTTTTCATACTTAAATTTTAATCGTTCAAAAGTCGGGTCGAAAAGTGATAAAAAACAAAATTAGCCAAACAACACAAAGTTTACAATATCTAATTGAATGTTAAATTATTTTATACCAGAATCATATTTATAATTTGTTCAATAGCCTGAATCATGCTTTACAAAGTGAATGTAAATCATTTGGAGTTTTTTGAAATAATGTCCCCCTGTAATACAGAAATTTCTGATTTTTGTGCAATAACCTCACGGTTTTTCATATTTCATTAATCGTAAAGTGACTGTAAAACTGCTTAAAAAGACTTCAGTGAATTCTAACAGTTTTGATGTCTTTGTATTTAATTTATAGATATGGATAGTTTGCCTACTTTAAACACTATGCAGATGGCACTGTTAAATCTTGATGAGAAGTGCGAAGAAGAATTACTATCTGTACTTCACCATCTTCTTGTTTGTGTAATTGAAGATCCAGGTGTGCCACATAGTCCAGAGGTAAGCATATGAACTGTATAGTTAAACAAACGGCTAACATTTTTTAAAAAATCTCTTTTTAAAAAGCATTTTGTTTACAATATTAAAGCAGTTAAGGCTTGTATGTGTGTAATTCTTACTACAAATTTGCTATTTTTTTTAATTGAGAGACTGTTGAACCATAAAAGAGATCATTGTTATGCACATTTCATATGCATTATGCACATGCATTATGCACATTTCTCCATTTTTGTTAATTTTACTGTATGAAAATCAAGAGGGAAAAATAGTCGGGAATAAACTACAGGTAACTCTCACAATATTATTTACATTAAAGAAACTTAACTGTAATAAGAATGCATATTAATATTAACATTGCAATAACTAATAAGATATCTTCATTTTTGTATCTTGAATCTGACCCTGCTTCTTCTTATTATTAAATGGGTTTGTATTGTTGTCCACTGCTACACTCTGGGCCTCAAATCATTTGTATCTGCTGGAATTGTTGTTTGTGCCATCTGCTACAGCGTGCAGGTCATAGGCATCATCATCATTCTGTCTGTCTTTCTGTGTTCAGTGACCTTCAGAACCATTAAAGCCATTAAACATCCTCATTTTCTTGAAGGTTGTTCTCTATTATTGGTCCAATAATCAGAACCTATGTACCAATAATCACTACATGGAAGAATCCATTTCACAATTTAAAGTACTTGTTTCTTTAAAGCCTTTAGAAAAGGGAAATTTTTATGAATACTTTCAGAAGCTTATGCCAGAAAACTAAGGGGAAAATATGTAAAATATGGTATTTGTTGTTTTAAAAGAGGTCAAGGATAGTTTCTGCAATTTAGAAAAATTTTAAGATCGTACAGAAATGCATTTCCTAGTGTCAAAAATTAAAGTGATTCAAAATAGTAATTGATTTTGAAAAAAATTGCCAAAATCGGTGTATTATTTTAGAGATTTTTTTCGATACATCTCATGTGCAATCATGGGAGCAAAAAGCTTTAATGGGACATTTCTTTGGAAGATGATAAAATGAGATTTTTCACTGCATATTTATCATGCTGAAAATGGGGCTGTTTTGAATAAGCCTTTTGTTGAGTACAGTTAAGGAGCTTATGAATTAATCTGCAGTTTAATAAGTAGTATTCATTTCACAATGAATTATAGAATTTTAAGTGTTTATTATTATTTATTTATTTATTTAATTTTAGGCAGCTACAGTTTTGGGTCAAAGCCTGAAGGATGCTGATATAACAAACAACAATGTGTCAGAAGTTTTGAGGTTATATTTTATTGCTCAAGACAAGAGAAGCCCCGTGAGTATATTTTAGTTAAATTTCAAAAGTTGAAATTCCAAACATAATTTTTAAAATAATGATTGCAAACTGGTGTCAGCACCCAAATTCTTTTATGTCATCATTTGAAGGAGTAGGGTGTATAACACTTCATATTATAATCCTCACCTCAGAAAATGTACACTTCTTTCAGCAAAACAAAAATTCAAAGTAAAATGCCTTTTATAAAATGTAAAGAACAAAAACACTTGCTTGGAAATGTGTGTTGGTAAAATAATCAAATTTTGTGTGATTTTAGTACTGATGATATGTGTTTAAAAATGTATTTTAATATTGGTACTTCCCCATTTTCACAGCCCTCATCATAATGCATTAATGTTATTGCCTAGTTCATCTAAAATGAAGTCCATAAATTAAAAATTGTTTACATTTTAAATTTATTTATTTGAAAGAAAACTTATGGTCTACTTGCAGTATTAAAAAGCATCTCATCACAGCTCTTTATCTTCTTCAAGTATTTGTAAATCAAAAATTATAATCATATATTTGGGAGGGGAAAAAAAAAAAAAAAAAAAAAAAAAAACAGATTAGCATGTGGCCTGCTTACAGCCTTTCTTCTGATCAGTGATTAAGTGATCTTTTTTGGTGTAAACTTCAATCCAACTTCAATTGCAAGAATCGTATAAATAATGGTGAATATTACGAAGATTTACAGAAATTGTGTTGCAAAATGAACAACATTGCACGAAGCAGTAATTATCTTACAGAACTGCAATACCTATCTTTTTAGCTTTATCTAAGTTTTCTTATATATAGTTGTGTACAAATATGAGATATAAAGAAATTACACATAGTTAAATTATGTCAAGTTGGTGTTAAACCTCTGCAATATTTACATGATTTTTGCAGGTACAATATTTACATGATTTGTCAAAATATTTTAATTGGCTAGTTCACTATTATATGCATAGAATACACAACTTCTGATTGACGTTCTTTTGATTACAATACACCTAATTATCACACTGAGAGAACCCTTCCAAATAAATTCATTTCCAGGAAAAAGTCATTAATTTTAAGTAATATTTAGTAATTCTAGAAAATGTGTTTAATTGCAAAAGGTTTCTTCCTTTTAAAATTTAAGACAGCCAAGGTATATAATAGGTAAGCCAAATTCTTAAATAAACTTAATAATACAATATGGCGAGATATAATATATGCATATAAAGAAAAATATCTGTTAAAAGTACAATAGGTAAACAGAATTATTAAACTAAATCAATTTAATATGATATGGCAAGATATAATATAGTCATGTAAAGAAAAATATGTATTTTGACAGCCACAGTGAATAGTACCATTCACCTCTCTGTTTTGTTTAAAATAAAATCTGAAATTTTCTGGTTAATTGAATGTCAGATAGTAAAGTTTTCACTCTATTATTATTTATTAACTAAAGTGAACATTGATGATGCTGTAAAAAGAAATGTATATGCATTAAAAATAATTTTTAAAGAATCCTTAATCCTAGTTTTTCAGAATTTGTTTAATTTAATTTCCTCATAAAATCATTATTTTTTAACAGATGCTGGAATGGTTGCAGACAAAGCCTTTCTTATCATTAAATGCCACACAGAAAGCTGAAATTATTGCATTTCTTTGTGATGAATTGCTCACCAGCCGATTACTCACCAGGTAAGTTTAATATTTAAACATACTGGTACATTTTATTATATACTTTTTAAATAAGCAATGCAGTTATTTTGCTGTATACATGCAATTTATGTTGAAAGTAAAATGCATATTTCTTTTCAGGCAAATAGATAGCAATATTGAAAATGTTAATGTTCTTCGAAAGGACAAGTGGCTCGTGGAAGGAGATTTGAGAAGGTAAGCTTTGTATTTGTATATTTCTATTAGTAAATAATGGAGAATCTGTATGTAGGTATGCATGTGCCTATGTTCCTTGTATTGTGAGAAAATGGTGGCACTAGCGCCACTAAATTTTGGAATATGGCAATCCTCCAACTGAAATCTGAAATGAAATTTTTGATTTCCAGTTTTTAGCAGAATAATTTAATGCTAAGCAGTTAAAACACAAATTATGTTTGTTAATTATTTCTACTCTATTATTTACAGATAACTTCTTGTAATTAGAGCACTAATACAAAGCATGATTTTGATTGCAAATAACACAATTTGAACTTTTAACATCTCTTAAAAATACTTTCAGTATTGCTTTTTCTGGATAGCCTTTACGATATGGACTGGAAGTGTTTTTAAGAATTTTTGTGCAGAAAGTGTAATAAAGATCTATTTCTTTTGCTAATGCAGATGGACGAAACCATTTCTCTGCTTGTTGAATACTAAGTGTGATGCTAATTTTTTTTCCAACAGTAGAAAATATTTTATTTGATATAATAAGGTCATTTAATGCTTCAAAATCTGATATTTTTCTTATACTTAAATAATAATTCCGACTCGTGGTAAAATGTGAAGCTAACTGTATAAGTTTCGTTTTGCTGGCATGTTAACATGCTTGAGGGGTGGGCTGAAAAATTTCATTTTCTCATAATTTCTTAACTTGTCACCGTTAATCTAAGTGATTACATTAGAGACTCTTTCATCTAATAAATTTAATAGAATCTACAATTTATATTTATCAGAGATAGTTTTTGTGAGGAAAGCCTTTTCTAATGATTAAAAGAAAAAAGCCCAGCCTTCTGGCCTAGTAGGCACATTTATAATAAAGGTTCTTACACTTTTCACTAAGGAATCTAAAGAATGATGAATTTCCAGATTACTCTCACTTTGATTTTCTACTTTCGTTTCTGCTCGTAATTTTGTAAGCTCTCTTTCTGCTCTTACTCTTTCTAACTTAATCTGCTCTAAGTTAAGTAAACTCTACTGTTTACTTGTATGATCTTCAATCATTGTATGTATTAATTCTCTCTAAATTTCTAAAATTAAGTTGAATATCTGTTCGATAATGTTTATTATTTTTGATCAACTCAGTTAATTCAACAATTGTTGCTTTTTCAGATACAATTTCTCCTACCTGTGGGGCTATAAGCCTAAGATTCCCTTTTTCTGCATTTCTTTTACATTTTACTAAAACAAAACAATTAGAATTCATAAAAGTTACAATTACTTCAGAAATTTTGTTCAAGTCCTCCAGTCCTAAGGACCAACAATATAATGATGATAGCTCAGTTCAGTGGACTGTATATATTATGTTTATTTAAATTCACAACTTTATATTAATGCATATTTTATCTCATATATTACTACAAGGAATCCTGCTCGAGAATCCTGGATTTCATTTAGCACGCATTCTCACTCACTCTTTATGATACTCTCTTTTCATTAACACTTTGAGGCAAAAGGTGCATATGCATCTTTCAACCTCACAGTTATGCCTGAACAATGACAAAGCTCTCAGGAGCTATCTGCGTAAGGAGGAAAGATGCCTTTATGGAGGACTTTCTAAGAGAAACTTTCTCATATACACTATGCATGGAGAAAATTTTGAAAATGCTCATGCAGCCAGCCATTCTCTGGAACTCAAATATTAGACCAAGCAACCAGTGTTCAGCGAATTCATCGATCAGCTGCTGGTGGGCCAGCTTTGTAAAAACCATTATTTCCTGTTACTTTATTTCCTTGGTAATTGTCATCAATGTCATGACCTTTATTTTAGATTATGTTTCAGTTTTCTAGTTTCTTCATTTGCTAAATAATTACATTAACTACTATTTTTGGGGTCATATTTACCCCACATATTTGAACTTACATGTCCTCATGTAAGTTCAAATTTCTTGAATTTCTGTGCACAGTTTTTCATTGGATTTTTTGATCTTCAACTTTTTCTTTTTAAAGATGCAACAAAGTCATTTTCAAATATAAAATGAAACTTAACAAGATGACTCCTTTCTAATGAATAAAAAATGTTTCAGTTTGTCAGAGAAAAGCAATGTTTAATAAAATTTTATATTTATATGAACAGATTTTTATTATATATGGGTTAAATTCATTTTTTTTAGATTAATGCCAACAATTTTTTGTATTCTTAAATTTTACAGAATTTTACACTAGTTTTGATAAAAAAAATACTTATATGATTACAAGACATGCAAGTAATAAATCATTTATGTATTAAAAAAATACTGATCTAATAATAATTATGAAATAATCCAGTAGTAATTATGTTTTAATGCAGAAAAATAGTAAAATTTTCATTTAATATTTTTGAGTTTTAATGTAAAAATTTGCATGTATTTTTATATTAAGCATGCTAAATATTATTTGAGAATATGGAATGTAAAAATATAGATTTTATATAGATATAATACATAAAACATAATAATTTGAGAAAGGGTATATTAATGAGGGGGTCAAATATACCTCAATAATAAGGGACCATAATTATAAGATTTTTTTAAAAAAATTAATTATCTGGAGCCGTAGTTTTACACAGACTTTGTTGCTTATTACGAATGCTGCCTTGATGAATGCAGTGGTTAACGATGCCAGTTACCATATCATTGGGTTTGGGTACGAAGGCATGAATGTTTTTAAGCATAGATTGTCTGTTTTATGTGTTATAGGGCACTTAAATGCTAGAGAGCTGAAAGTCCTCTCAAATGGTAAGGTAGCAGGAGTGGAAAAGGAGATAGAAAACCCTGATCTATCCTCTGAGGCATTTTCCATCAAAATTGGGTTGGAACTGCACAATTAGTGCAGTGGGGCCTGTACAGACAGTGGGGAAATTCTGGTGTCTTGCAGGCTTCTTCCTGTACTTGCTGATCGTGAATGACAAATCGTCATTGGATGTAGTTTTTCTGAGAAAAATTGACAAAAACTCCAGCAGTGACTTTTAAAATTTTAATTGAAATAAGTATGCAAGTTCTAATTCAGAATTCAAACAGCAAAAAAATCAGTGTTATATTTGCAAATTTTCACAGGACTAGTTTCGATGGTCTGAACCACTTTGGTAGCTGAGAATGATGGTTCAGTATAATGTTGATTTTTGTTATTTGAATTCTAAATTAGTACTTGTTTGGTGTGTTATTTTATCTTAATTATATTAAGTATGCAAGTTTTTAAAAACAAAATGTTAGAGCATCTTCAAATTAATCTGCTTTATAAGAGGATTTGTTTAAGGGTTGATAGAAAAAAGAGGTCACATGTAGTACTTAGACTCTTACATTTCATAAAATGTAATGTAACATTAGTAATTTGTCATGTTTTACATCTCCATAGGTACCGTTCTATTCAGCAACGTCGAGCTTTAAAAGCGAGGCTGAGTGCGATGGAGGAAAACCGTGATAACCCAAACTGTGTGAATATGCTGTCAGCAGATCTGCCAGATTTCAGCCTCACTATGGCTAAAGATAATCAAACAGGAAATGAAGATTCTGACATGAAAGATATATCTAAATCAGAAAAAGAGAAGCTGGAAGATATGGAAAATGAACTTGCCAATGAAAGTGGTAATGAAAGCGATGATACAGCAACTGGAGCAACAGGGCAAATTTCTGAAGGAGAGGTAAAGGAAAAAAATCTGTTTTGCAACTCTACAATGGCCATGTGTTTATTTATAATCTTTCAAATGAAAGTTATAATAATCTTTCTGATTAAGAATTCAGTCCTTGCAGTTATCCACTACACCATATTTTTTCAACCTCAGTAAAACCTCATTTGTAGGTAATTGAGACTGTAACCACCGTGGATAATTGAAACTCAATTAATAGAAACTGAATTGTAAGTTGTGCTAGTTTTTCGTTCGAGAAGATTTTTTCAAACTGTTTATTTGAAATTCTAAATATAAATGCATAACATGTTGGTAATTAGATTAATTAAGATTTTAACTAACTCTGTTAGTGAAAAAATTGATTTTTCTTCAATTAAAATAAACAATGCATATGAGATTTTATTTTGTGACACAATTTTCATTAAAAATCTCAACAAATAGGATAAAACAGACTTCATCAGAATTTGCACAAACTGTGAAATTTTGTCAAATTTCTTGCATACATATTAATGAAATACAGTACAAAGTCTGAAATCCGGACTCGTGGGGCTTCGGCGATTCCGGATTTGGGTTTTTTCAGGATATTAGATCATCAGTTTAAATCTAGTAAGATGGCATGTAGAAATTATAAAATTTTTAAAAAATGAAATCATAATTTATGAAATAATGAAGTATTTATGATGTAAAGGTTATCAAAATTTACAAGAGAAAAAGTTCACCAAAGTGAATTTTCAAGATTATTTCCAGTATTTTATTCTTTACATCAAAACTCTACGTGTTCTCTTTTTCTCCCCCTTTATGTTTTTGCTTTTTTCAATGAATTTTTAAAATTATTTTTAGTATTTTATTCCATGCCAAAAGAAATAAGTTGCATGTAAAAGAATAATTGTGTGACTATTATAATGAGTTTTTCAAAATGTTAAATTTATGTATATCTTTTGGTTTTGATTTAATGTACAAGATTCTAAATTACATTGTCAAACATTGATTGCTAAGAATGTAAAGTCAGTGTAATGAATGCAAAGTCATATGCAATGGTTAAATGTGCTTTGTCTTAAAAAAAGTGGGGGGAGGAAGGAAGACCATTTTGCTATTTTAATTATCCATTTGACAAAATTTAAATTGTATTTTTTCATGCCCCAAAGGAAAGACAAAGATATATAGTTATAAGATTCAAAATTTTTTTAATACAAAATCAGACTATGCTTCAAATTATGATTAAATACCAAATTTTGAACACAAGCTAAATTATTGACAGTATAATCACTTATTAATTATTCAATGTAATCAGAATGTGATTTTTATTTCGGAGAAAATAACATTTTCAAAATAGCTAAGATGTCAAAGAATTATTCAGAATTCGTAGGGAGAAAAGTTGCATTAAAATTTCATTTATTTATGAATGAAATTTGATACTTAACTATTGTCTGCTGTATGAATTTGAATTTATTATCTGGTAATTAGATGTGGATGAAAGATAGCCATGAAAAGTATCATATTAAAGCAGCTTTATTTTAAGCAAGAACATCATAAAAATAAGGAATTACGTTTTTACTAGAATTTCTATAATACATTCTGGTATTCTGGTATCTAGTTTGAAACATCATACCTCATAATAACTGAAGATAGAATCTAAGAATTTCAATGTCCATTTGCACATTTGATGATGGCTTCACACCATACAATGCTTGTTTTTTTCTTAATTGTGAAACCTATTTAATCAATAATCTATTTACACACTTTTCTTTAATTTGATAGACAGATGTAATTTCTTGTTGAATTACAAAGTTCCATTGATCAATGTCCCTATTATTACCATGTCAAAAATTCCCACCAAACTGTCAAGCGAAATCTTTTCATTCTCAAAAACCTCTTTGTGTCATTTCCATCACTATCGATAGCGATATCTTCTGGATTCAAAATGTACTACGTATTTCACCGCTCATTAGCTGATTGTGGCATTATTATCGTAATTGAAAACTTCTGTTAAATCTTCATTAATTATCAGTTCTCCACATTTCATCACAAATTCCATTAATTGAAAAATTTTGCTTTCCATATCTTTCAAAATCTCTGCCAAAATAAGGTTTCTGTTTTGCCTAATTTTGAAATCACACTTTCGTAAGTCCGAGATGTGGCAACACTGTTCCGTCATGCTAAGGCTGCTACACAGTATACCAAATTTGCTTTTGCTCTGCAAATTCAGCTTCACATAATCAAAAATTCAAACTTTAATTTAGATAAGATAGCTGTAATAATAATAATAATCTGAAAAAAAAAAAAAAAAAAAGTAACTTGAATCAAATTAGTTAAGGAAGAGCACAGTTTGCTGCTTTAACTCGATTTAATTTCTTCCAAATCTCGTTGTCTCTTCCCATTGCTATACCAATAAAAGAAAGCCAATATTGGTAACATTCCACTCCAAACAAATATGTCTTGGAGCCTCATTATTTAAATCAGATAGGAAAATTTTAACCCTGCATTGACCATGATGTAATTTCTATCTCTCTCTCTTTTTTTTTTTTTACTTGAGGTTTGGAGGTGCGGGTGCTTGATCATTCTGGTTAATGGACATCTGGATTTCAGACTTTGTTCTGTACATATTTTGTTATATGTGCTTTTCCATATTTCCCTTAAACAGTTTTAAAAATTGCTTATTTAATGTAAATGTTACAGAACAATTAAATATAAAATTTTACTTTTCAGGATGATGATCTGCATTTATCAAATGATGAGATCAATAAAAAGATAGAAAAATTATCTAAGGTAATTGCTTTTTTGATTCCTTTAAAAATACTTAGAAGAATGATGTATAATTATGTGCTTTGTCTTATGTGCATGATAAATAACTTCTGGATTTTACTTTCTAAAAGTACTGATAATTTCGTCAACTTTTACAATAAATAAAATGTGAAAAATTTATTTCTTTAAATATATATCTGTGCATTTTTCAGTTTATAATTTATTCAGCTATAAAGAAAAAATTGCGTGATCTGTATTGATAGTACTTTTGTGTTGTAGTTATTTAATTTATGAATATTAGTGTGAACATAACTACAGTAGAATACTTTATCAGAATTAATTGGTTTGGATTCATACTAAAGAACATTTTGGGTAGGTTAATCTTTGAACAAATAAGTATTTAAATTATTGTTAATTTGGATGTATAGTATAAACTTTTCATCATAAACAAGCTGTTTTGCAACTATTCTCAAGATAATTATGAAATAATGGCTAAATGCTTGTTAGAATTGTTTTAAAACTATCTAGGATCATATTAATTAACTCTTGTAAAGTACATTGGAGCTACCTTTGGGTAACATTTTATATTCCCAGATGATCTTCTAAAGGAAATTGATCTATATTCATTTTATGCACATGGAAAACCCAATGCTATTTGTAGTTGAATAGACTAATTATATATATATATGTAGCTGAATAGACTAGCTATATATAACTGTAGAAATAAAAATTGGGTAAACTGTAAAATGTTTTTATATTTTTAGCCATTGATCACTGGTGCTGCCTTTTTGAACTATTCAGTCATTATTCTGTAGATAAAATCAGAAATGTTTATACAAAAATTAAGTTTTCCAGAAAAAAAATTTATTTTAAATTTAGTTGTGATTTTGCAGATGTATCTGCTCTTTGTTTTTCAATTTATTTTAAACAAGTATATCCATTCAAGAATTTTATCAAAATTGTATGAACAGAATTTTTAATATGTCTAAAAAGAAGCCAAATATTTTAAATAAAGTTCAAAATGCTATATATTTTTTCATAAATCAAACTTTATTCATGGTATGATCCTTATGGATCAATAAGTATTGCATATCTTGTTACATAAACTCTTAGACAAGCACAAAAATAATAATAATAATAATATGACGTACCACTATGCACCGAGAAGATATAAAGCAAATTGGACACAAATTGATATGTATAGGTTTCAACGGAAAATGCAAAATTTTACATTTTGGCTGCCAATGAATGAACGGTTGTTGCTACAACGCATTTGATCTGCACAACTGGCAAGATATTTAAGAGGAGAAATTATGATTCCAGGTCATAAATTCTTCACAGATTTCGTTTTGTGTACTCTGGTAGACAGTAACTATGCCTCGCATACAGATGCACGAAGGATATGCGCAGATGTCAGAATTTGAGGGAGGTCGTGTAGTTGGGCTCAAAGAAGCCAGTTGGTCTTATTGGCGAATAGCTCGACATTTGAGCAGGAGCGATGCCACTATTAGACAATGTTGGCAGGAATGGGTGAACCATAGCCGCACATAGCGTCAAGAAGGAAGCGGTAGGCCTAGAGAAACAACAGAACGTGAAGACCGAGCAATCATCAGAGAGGCACTCTCAGCCCCAGATGCATCATTATCATCAATTGTACATGCAACTAGTGCTTCAGTGACCACAAGGACCATTTATAGACGGCTCACAGAAAAGGGGGCTGAGGTCACACCGCCCCTTGCGCCTACTACCATTGACCTCTGTACAACGTCAAGCCCATTTGCACTGGTGTCGGACTCATTCGCACTGGAATGTCACTGACTGGAGTAGAATAGTCTTCACTGATGAGTCCCACTTTGAACTGAGCCCCAATGACCAGCGAAGGCGAGTCTGGAGATGCCCCGGACAGCGGTGTGATACCAATCTGTCTTCCAGCAGACAGGCCAACAACTAGGAGTGATGGTCTGGGGTGCCATTTCATTTCATATTAGAACCCCTTTGGTTGTCATCCGTCACAACCTTACAGCACAGCGGTACGTCGATGAAGTTCTAAGACCCGTTGTGTTGCTCTTCATGTCACGCCACCCTGGGCTTAATTTCAGCAAGATAATGCCCGCCTCCACACTGCACATTTTCTACTGCTTGCCTTAGTGCTTGCCAAACATTACCTTGGCCAGTAAGGTCGCCGGATCTCTCTCCTATTGAGCACGTTTGGAACATTATGGGCAGTGCGCTGCAACCAGCTCGGGATGTTGACGATCTAACTTGCCAATTGGACAGAATTTGGCACGATATTCCTCAGGAGGACATCCGCAGCCTCTATCAATCGATGCCAAGCTGAATAACTGCTTGTGCAAGGGCCAGAGGTGGACAAACGCATTACTGACTTTTTCACTTTGTGAAGCTGTATCACTTCAAATAAATCATCCAATTTTTCTCAAACTGTAATCATTTGTTTTTCTATACATGTACCAATTTTCGTCCCATTCGGATTGCTCCTTCTTTGTGCATCTTTTTTTTTTTTTTTTTTTTTTTTTTTTGTCTAATAGTGTATATAACTTTGATGACAGTTGATATGAATTGTATGGCTTCATTATCCTTCCACAGAGTACTTTCACCATCATTTTCTGTTCGGAAAGTAGGAAATAGTCTCATGATGATAAAGCTGGCAAATAGGATGAGTGTTGAGTCTCTGAAGTCACAAACTGAATTTATGGTCCCCCCCCCCAAAAAAAAAATGTGTAGTGCATTGGCTCTTAGTGAGTTTTAGATTCTTAGCTCTAATTTTAATCATTCGACATGGAAGATCAGAATGTAAATAATACTGCCTTGAATCAGTTTTACTCCTATATTCAATGTGTGTTTGGTTATTTGAGACTATTGCAAAGCACAAAGGCTATCTGCCTGATGGTTCATTGTGCTTCGTGGAGGACTTTGTAAAAGAAATTGGCATGTATTTACATTAAAGAAAATTAACAATTCTGGTTTTAGCAATGCCTTTTGAATCATAAATAAATATTTTCTTCATTCATGATTTACAGAAATGTACATCTTTTTTTGACAAAGATTCCTTGTTGTATTCTTATAGTCTGGTTTCTAGCTTGAAGCATCATGTCTCATCAGAATATATGATAGAATCTAAGAATTTAAACTCCTATTTGCTATTTTAATGTTTTTGCAGTATTCAGTGCTTTTGTTTCTTGATCACCTTTGATTTACAAGGAAAAAAATCAAATTTTTCATCAAAATAATTAAAATCAAATTTTTATACACCAAAGGCTTCAGCATGCATAAAACATGGACCTTTTGGGTCTACAGCAACAGTTTCATACTCTTCTCAGTTTGCTCATTGGTTATCACAATCCTGGAATACCCAGACTTTGAGGATCCTTGAATGGCCAGACTTTGAAATACATTAATATCTTTGTCCATTCTTTCAAAATGTGTGCATGATAGATAATAATTGCCATAAACTTGGTGTATGGCTGCAGGATGTTTATGAAAGTTTCACAGTGTTTAAAATTAATAATTATGCAATGTTGCATCGCAGTTTCATAATGTTGTGCTAGACAGTATCCATCTAACCTCCATTTTCGAAGGAATTGTATGCTTTATGCCAAATTTTAGCATGAAAGGCATAAAACAGTCATCGAATCGTAGCTGTTGTGTAAATACCAGTAGTAATGTTAAGTACCTCTCATACTTCATGCAGCAGTGCTGATTTTAGAATGAAAAAAAGTGTTTGGTTTCTTTTTTAAATATGTAGTTTGCTTCTATGGATTAAGTGGAGCTAGTCCCATTTGGAGTATCTAAATACTTTAATTACAAAATAGGCTGTGCCTTTGAAAATGAGTTTGACATGCAGAACTTTACATGTGCAGGAGTAATTATTTCCACTTAAGAATTATAACATCCTTTTAATTCTGCGGATTATATTTTGCTTTTAATTTTTTTAAATTTCAGTATAAACTAAGTATTATATTTATTAAATTTCTACAAGTGTGTGAAATTTTGTTAACAAAAGTGTGTCAAATATTAACAAAAATTCTCAGAATTGCTTTTCAAAGTCTGTTGTGTATCATTTCTACAAGCTGTTTGAAAGTAAGAAAAAAAATCATCTCAGCAAGGCTGACCTATCGCTAAAGTGGCAAAATACTGGTAGTTTTATGTTATCTTGCATCCTAAGAAGGAAAAGGGGTGGCAGTATACATTTTTTTTAAAAATTTCGTAAATATGGATACATTTCCATAAATCCATTCTTGAGCAGTTGGTATAGGCTGTGCAATAATTAAGTAACCAAGCCAATTATCTTTTTCAGTTTAATAAACATTTTATATATAAAAAAAATATTTGTGTTTGATATAAAAAAGCTGAAATCGGATGAAGTTAAAATAAAACCTTTCACTGTAATATAGCTATTGTAAACATAAATGAATAAATTTCAAGAAGTTAGTTATTTGGCATAGATAATGGTTCTAATTATCTAACTTTCATCATCTTTTTCTCAACATATGTGGACTACTACTACAGTAAACTGTCTGCTAAATCATATCTTTTACAGGGTTCGTACGGTCCTTAAGAGTCCTTAAATTTTTTTGAATCGATTTATGGTCCTTAAAAGTCCTTAATTTTGGCCAAAATCAGCAGAAAGTCCTTAATTTGAATCATCTGAAACTTCTGACTGTTTTTACAACTGTCATTTTGAGTGTGAATTAGCATTTTGAGGAATATTTTTGGCGAGTCACTGCCATATATATGGTTATCTTTTGAATGGGCTCATGAGTTATAACTTGTTTCTATTTCTAATATAAATGATGGGATACTCGTGTTTCTAAGCAAGAAGTGAAACATAAGCTTTTCGAAATTCATTTTTTCTAGTAAAGAGCTCTTAAACAACTTTTTGCTTTTGGAGATGTGAATTCTTTTATTAAACGGTTCTAAATTTGGCGACTTTTCAACATTTTGTCAATTTTAAGATTAGTTTCTATAGAAACTTTTTAATTTCAAAATCTGAGAATTTTTCGACAATTTTTTTTAAAACATCATAACATTGATAAATTTCATTAAAACAATGGTAATATATTGAAATTATATTTAGAAAATAACATTAAAATAAAACGTTTTTATTTTTTGCTGTCATATTATAAAGTTTCATTTTAGCAACTTATACAATATTTTAAATCTGAAAAATAAACAAGGTATAATGTTATAAAGCACAATTTACGAAACAGCTCTTAGCAAAAGCAAAATTAGCTATGTCGTTAATAAAAATGTCTTGTTTTTAATATTTTCATAGTAAGAGTTATACCCATGTGATTGTCTCAGAATATTCAAAATTCTCAGAATGTGCATCAGTTTTCTCTATGAACTTAATTTTATCATTTTTCCTCCTATTTTTGTCAAAAATATTTCTGGCATTTTCCTGTTACAGAAATGGTATTGATAATTTTTCTTTAGGATTTTAGACATTACAGCTTGCAAAGTTTAGAAGGATTTGAAGGCAAGATTTATAGACCCACAATTCTAGAAGATTCGAGAAATATGTGACAAAATGAAAACTATGTCCATGGTATCAACATGTAATGAATGTATTTTACAGAAAGTTTGCAATGAATTTCTTAATTTTTGGAGAACATCTAGAAGGACAATGAAAACATAATATTTGAATGTATTACTTCTGATACTAGAATGTTAACATGTTTATCTTCTCTTAATTTTCTCTACTTTTCACTAGACAGAAGCATGGAAAATATCAAAAATGCTTCTGAATCTTATCACATGGAGCAGGGAAATTATAGAAAGGGAATTTTTTTATTAATAAAGAAATTGAAACTTACAATTTAAAAGATTTATCTAATCCATGTCTTAATGCATCATACACAGTAGCTGGCGTCTGGGCCTTTTCCCACCTGATGCAATGTCTGTAGGGTCCTAAATGCTGCTGCCTAGTGCTGCCTAAATTCTAAAAGTTTTGCCATATCTAGATTTTGGTGTTAGGTGTGTCACTAAATTCTAGAAATTCTGCCACATCGGCTCTGTAACTGGCCTTTACTATATATACCGTAATTTCCGGAAGAAAGGCCGCATCAGCGTAAACGGCGCACTCGAGAAAAATGGCAGGAAAAAATTTAAAATTACACAGAAACGGCGCATCAGCATAAACGCCTCAATAGATTAAATTGCGCGTGACATCGTCGTGGGCCGTATAGATGCAAAAACTCAACCTAAGTCCTGATATATGACATATCAGTTAAGAAAAATGCATGAAATGAAACCATAACTCAAAAATAAATTAAAGGTAAGAAATGTATAGCTTTCTGTAGCCATTTAGAGTGCCATTTTCAAAAATTTTCCGCTCTCTTCTTACATTAAAAATTCTATCCAACAAATACTTGTACCCAAACTGATGGGATCTGTATATCTGGCAGAATGCCAAAAAAAATCCATTCATGCTGAAGGGGAAATACGTCAGAGTTCGTTATTGCGAGGCAGGTGGAGTCGTGTCTACCTTTGAATAAAAACTTGCAGAAAAGGCAGGGATGGAGGAGAGCATGGGTCCTGGAAGATTCATGGAATGGCAGAGGAGAGAGACTATTCAAAATGATGAGAAATGTTGATTTGAAAGGGGGGAAGAATGTTATTGTTCTGAGATCTCCGTTTAGGGTGAATAAGGTATGTAGGTCCATTCAAGGGAAAGAATGTAAACAAAATAACGTTCGCAAAAAGCAACTGAGTGGTCTTTTGTGTGGGAACAGCACCAGTCTATGCACAATGACAAGGCCATCCAAACAATGTACAATGACCATCATAGGAAATATTTTATTTTTAGTGCACCTAAATGCCGCATGGGTAGAAACGCCGCACCCGCTGAAAATTTAAGTTTTAAACATGTAAACGCTGCGGCGTTTCTTCCGGAAATTACGGTATTTCATATTGCTTCTGAATATTCATATTACTAAAGAAATAAAATTCGCCACTTTTTCTGTACATTCTAACTGCATTTACTGTTTTTTAGAATAACAAATCCTTAATTAAATCAAAAAATTCTAAAATGAAAAGGAAACGTGTTGAAGAAAGAAACTGAGTACATAAAGGAAATTATTCTTCAAAGATATGTGCAGTATTATGTAAATTACCCAATTGTTTATGATTTCAATCTTTACTATAATTTCCCATTTCTATTTCCTCATAATGATAGAGTTATTGAGCCAGATTAAATTAAAATTAAATTGTATAATCTTTGACCACTAGTCCACATTATTAGTTTGAATTTGGCTGTTCTTGTTTAATTACGTCACCGTGAGCTGTAATTGATTTTGTTAGCATCAGAACATGCCTTTATGTTTGTTCTAAGTTCTTTTTAAATAAGAGGCTTATTTAAACTTTTGTCTGATATTGTAGATAATTTCAGACATAGCGATAATATGCTTCACGTCTGTCGGGGGTTTAGGACTATTTGACTTTTACCAGATTAATTAAACCCTCATAGGTACATAATGGAGAGGTTGACAAGTTAGGAGATAAAGCATGCAGAAACTAGCAGAAGCATTGGTTTGCATATTGAGACAAATCTCTAATTGTTAGAAAAGATGCTTAAAAGAGAAGGAAATCGATATAAATGTTACAAAACATAAACGTTTTGTAGCTTTTAATGTGTAATTATCTTAGTATCATTTAAAAATCTGTATCATAAATTACATATATTTTAAACTGTGAAATTTTATTAGATTTTGGATTTAATAGGGCTTTTTTAACAAATATTGTTAAAAAAATAAAATTTAATAGTGGTCATGTAAATCCATAATGCCTAAGGTTATCAAACTACCTAATTTAATTATTTATTACTAACTGCTTACCCTTAAAAATTATATCTACATATTAAAGCGAGTTATTGCCTTTCATTAATACTCACTGTGGTCACAAGATAAAATATAAAAATGTAAAAATTCAAGTAAAACATTCTAATGCATCTACCAAACTTAAAATAATACAAAACAACTTATCACCTCTGGTGCTTTAATGGCTTATTGGAACCTTAAAGTATATTAACTGGGTTACAACCCCTGGAACTGTACACGAAGCTACGACACTAACTGCATCAAACAGAGCCGGACTAATTTTCAACACTTGCGAACCTTGCCTACATCAGGCCTTTCAGTTTTGTTCTAATCAGCAGGTCTCTCTCTAGACAAGCAGCAGCAGTGACAACATTCAGCCTTTTGTTATGAATCATGCTGATTATGATCTGACTTCTCATTTTAACCTATGCAGTTTGACGTAAAAATCTACCTGCTTATTTACTAAACCTCTAGACTGAGTATGTGACAAAATGAGACACACACACACACACACACACACACAAAAAAAAAAAAAAAAAAAAAAAAAAAAAAAAAAGCTAACTGTTAAAGTTTATTTTATTCTCAAACTTATTAACAATTATGTTAATTCATGTTTAGTAATAATGCGTACTACTTAGGGATCTATTTTATTTTTAGGATGGTATTACAAAAGTGAAATTCAGACATACATAATATCTTCAATTGAATTTATTCAGTTCCCATATGCTCATAGGTCCTTAATTTTTTTCATTAATGGTCCTTAAAACTCCTTAAAAGTACTTAATTTCTGTGTGCAGAAATGTGTAGGAACCCTGTTTTAACATTCACCATACAAAAGAAGTAGTCATATATGCAGATTTTTTTCATTAATTTTTGCACTTTGGAGTTTGCTCATAAAAATTTTTTTAAAATGCTTTAAGTGCCTTTTGTGCTACATAGTATAACACAAAACTGACAGAGGTTAAAACAATACATAATATGAAATAAAATAAAATTTACAAATTCAGAGATGAAATGGGAGAAATAAATATGCAGAAGGAATAAAATGTCATTTTATCTTGAACTAACACATATAAAATGTCAGGATACTTGATGTTTAAAGAACTTAGCTGAGGTATGAGTCCTTTTTTCCCTGCACAAGTTTTGAACAGTAGAGTAATAAATACTTGAAATTTTGCACTCCTCTAAAGCTGTAAGAACACAAGTCTTTATGAAGTAGCCTAAATGTCTAGTTAGAAATTGTATGCCTAGATTATGTCTAGGTTGAAGTAATTTAGTCTGAGATGCAGTAGGGGAATTTCTATATAATTCATTCTACTTGAAAAGTATTTTACTCAAACTTTGTTTCTTGAAGAATAACTTAGTCAGTGTCATTGTGTTGTTAAACTGAAGATTTGTAACTTTTTCTGCCAACCGTATAGCTGTATAGTATTTTATATATTGCTTGTATGGCTACATACGTATGACTGAGATCTTCAAGAATCTCAGGTGACAATTAATTTGTTTTAGGAGAAGATGTTCATAAGGTAATGTAAGGATGAAATGTTATATAAGGATGAAAGAGAATCAGTGTAATAAGGAAGTTGATGAACATTGATTAGATATGCACTTAATTGATTCATTAATGCTCAGTAATTCAGCTTGGAAAACTGCACTAGTTTTAAAACATGCCGATAATCACAGTGCAGAGTAGTTAGTAATTTTCCATTCTTCCAGATTCTGTGAGGTGTGAATCTACTTGATATAAATGATAAATTTTGTGTTTTTAGTACTTCCTTCATCTTTAGGTCTATTATTTGATAGAGGTTTACATATTAACATGACCGGCTGATTTGCAGGGGTAAATGTTAAGATTTAAGGTAAAATAAAAAAGAAATATTGAAATAATTAAAAATATATAAATCCATATAAGTAGAACCCATGCTGATATGCATTTAATTTTGTTTTCTTATTCTAACTCCTTTCTTTTCAGCAACTTACGTTGTGCTCGAATCGACTGACTAAAGCTTTCTATACTATCCGTGGTGCTACATTTGGTATGGACAGGTATCACAGGCGTTACTGGGTCCTTCCAAAATCTGGTGGTGTGTTTGCGGAATCAATGGAGTCTTCACTTAAACCTGAAGAACGAGAAAAAGTTTTAGCTGCATCAAAATTAGCTGCAGTGAAAAAAGAAGAAGCTGCATCTTTAGAAGAAGGGAAAAGTAAAGAAAATGAAAATGAAAGCATCTATGTGAAAGAAAATTCAACATTGAAAGAGTCAGTGCACGAGAAAAGTGACTGTGATGTTGGTGTTATTAAATCTGATATATCTACAGAAGACAGACTCACAGACAAAAAAGAAGTTAATAATATCCATGTAATTAAAACTGAATTTCATGCAGGCAGTATTGTGAAAGACAATTGTATAAAAGAAGAAAAGGAAGCTATTATTTCTGTAAATAAAAACTTTCCAGCTGAGCCAGAATACAGTGTTTTGAATAATGAAGTTAAAGAAAATTGCATAAATCCTTGTGAAAATACTCCCAAAACTGGTGTGTTGACACATGAAAATAATGATGACGTTGAAAAATCTCTGCCTTCCGGTAAAGAGAATTTTAATAGCATTTCTGAAAGTGGTAAAGTCAAAAATCAAACTTTAGAAAAGTCTGATTGTAATGGAAAAGTTACATCACATAGCAGAGAAAGTAAGTTACCAAGCAGTGCCGAAAATAAAGATTTAAAAACAAAGTCTCATGATAAAGTTGATATTGAACATAAAAATGTATCTCAGGCAGATGCTAACTTTATAAAGCAAGTTTGGTCTTCTGATAAGAAGGATAGCAGTGATACTTTCCCAAACATTAAGAAAGAAATTGATGTCAAAGTGAAAAAAGAGGACAAAAAAGACCGAAATAAAGAAAGTGAAAATAAATTTTTAGATAAAGTTATGGATGTTAAAGAAGAAAAAAAGCCAAATGTGAATATATTTATGCCAAATTTATGTGATAGCAGTATTAATTTAGATCTTGGTGCTCCTAAATTACACAATGGTTCAGAGAGGCAGCATACTCCCAACCCGTCCATACCTCCTGACCAAAACTGGCTTCTGCATTCCCCTCTGTTTGCTTCCATACTTGCTGGGAACATGCTTTTTAATGGCCCTCTTATGTCTCAAAGAGACATGAATGGTACTTATTTCAACCTTCCTAAAAATGACTCAAACAATCCTTTTGGACCATTTCTTGGACTTCAGCCGGGTATGCTTTCTGCTGAACAAATATTCAAATCACTCGGTGAAAAACCGAACAATCAAAAACCTTGGTTTAGTATTCTTCCAAGAATGCCTTGTGATGAAAGCTTATTAAGCTCACCTCAAACAACAAGAAATTCTTCTGTTCATTCACCAAGTAGTGTCTGTTCACCAGATTTGAGATCATCACCTCGAGTTGCACATTCATCCTTGATGCCTAATCCCCCACCAGGTCACGTTGCTTCTGCATTGTCCAATCTTCAAATGGAACTATTAAATGGAGTACCTCCAGGTTTTTTCTTGCATCCTTTTCTACCACCTCAGTTTGGTCCTACATACCAATCCTCTCCTCCAGTTACTTGCTCTTCACATCACAATTCTTTTACATCAACTATGTCTCATTCGTCACCCATGCCAGATTTTAATTTGAATTTCAATCGGCCGCCAGCTGCATCCACTCCCAATTCTATCCCTACACCAAGTGCTACACCAGGACCTACCTCTCAGGGCTGTGCTACGCCTACCTCACGAGACTCGCCTTCACCCTGCTTTGCAAAAAAACTCATGATGGAAAAAATGGCTCAGGAATATGAATCACCACAACCAATACCAGAAGGTGCTGATTTTAATTGTATCTTAAATGCTTTTGTAAATATTTTTATTTAAATCCCTTAAAAAGTATTATCTTTTTCTCTTATATCTTTATATCATTTTCCTACTACTTTTTTAATGTTGATATTCTTTCAATAGGTAACTTATTAAGAAATTAATAATTTTTAGCCTTATAAACCACACAAATAATAATAAACATACATAAACAAATAATTAAATAAATACATATCAACTGTACATAATCATTTTTGTTGCATTACGAGATTATTCTATTAAATAATGTTAAATTACCAGAAGATGTGTAGACTGATGTGGTTGGTCCCAAAGAAAACTTATAATAACCTTCAATGGTCGTCATTGCACTTTAAATGGATTAAAAAAGCAGTTAATTTTAAATTAAAAATTTATTGTAAATTATTTGAAGGTGGAAAAAAATTGCATTTGTAATGGATTTGTTCATTTTGACAGATGATGATTTCTTCATCTCCCTCTGCTCTATTCCTATATATTTCTAGCATGAAATCAAGTTAGAAACAGGATTTTTTTTAATGGCCCACTTATAGTTCAGAGGTGGTTGAATATTTATTTTAGTATCCCCCAAAATAACTATGATTTCATATGAAAAGGTTTTACAAATTATAGCTCAAATTTGTGTTCATTAAAATAGATGAATTTTAAACAAAAATATGAACCATTTCTGATGAAGGTATAAAAAATTTATGTGTCCTGATTTTGTCATCCTTTAATTGGTATCTAATAAAGTTATTTACTAAAAACAGCAAGCTAATTGTAAATGTTTTCTCTAAGCATCTTTGGCTCTTATCTAATTGTATTATGATTACAATATAATGTATAATTACTTTCACACAGAATTAAATAGTTTAATAAGATTTTTTAATAACTTCAAATAGTCATAAATTTCTCTCTTTTGTCTATCTATCTATCTATCTATATATGGACATGTATGGGGGGAAGATAAAAAGTGATGAATATGTACTTAATACTATTAATATCACTTCCAGAAAAGTGGTATATAGTTGTTTGTTGATGCTAGCATATGAATTTTGGTACTTGGGCATTTTCCTGTCGACCATAAAATTGGTAGAGATCTTGCCAGAACTTCACTAGTGACTTAAAGTTTGAAGAAACAAATTGCTCTTTATTTACCCATCTGGCTGTGGTTATAAAATTCTTAAAATTATTTTTAAAAAGTTCATCCTTTTTCCTTATGTGAAACTGATCATAGTTGAAATCCCAGTTTTTGCCAGCATAGTAAGAATATTCCCCATGTATATTTGTGATAAAAGGGAACATGTTATTTGTGGATCCAATATTCAGAGAGTTTATTAAGTAACCAATTGATACAAATATGACATATTAAAATTTCAATAACTGGGAAATATTTTGAGCTAAATACTTATTACTTAGATTATACTTATTAGAAATACTTATTACTTAATACTTAGATTATTTGACCAAGAAATTCATTAAAACTGGTGCTGCTCATTCCAGAAGTCACGAATCCCAAATTGAGTATAAAATAATAAAACTAGCATCTTCTATACAACTCATAAATTCGTTTAAATATGGAGCTGTGCCGTGTTTGTTTTTTGTATATTTTGACGAACCCTACAGCCGTTTACTGTTGTGAATGTGTGCATCAGTATAACCAGCCCCATAACTCTGAAAATACTTCACTACTTGCTGTTTTCTAGAAAATCATCAGACTTCAGAATTCAGCAATAGAGATTAATTCATAAATTTCCTGCAAAGTCTGATCACGGTTACATAAAACCATAGCAAACTTCTTATAACTATGCTGTGGCATCACACTATCCCTTATTGGTGATAATTTGCACTGTTTGGCAATGTTGTTGAAGACCATTAACAAGAAAATGTGCAAGTACCTAAATTTTTACTGTAAACTGTTATTTAAAACAAAGTTAGCTTGAATTATTGGGACAACAGAAGCAATTGCAACAATTTTCATAAATTCCACTCCATGCTGGGAATGTTTAAAATTGGTAATAATAAAAAATCCTAAATTTTCTTTTCAATAGAACTACAAAGAGGTTGGTGGCGAATCACAGATCCAAATCAGTTGAAGACGCTCATAAGTGCTCTTCATCATAGAGGCATCAGGGAAAAGATGTTTCAGAAGCAACTTCAAAAACATTTCACCTTTGCATGTACCTCTTGTTCACAAGGTCAAACTGAAGGTAAGATGTGAAATTTTTGTATAGATTTTTGTAGAATATTTATATGGAATTATATTTTTAAAATGAAATTTTGGTTTATTCCATATTCTTTGTTGAAACATTGTATACAGGCAAACCCTACTCTAGTTCAACCATCATTTACATAATCTTGGTTTCCATACTGCTAAAATGCTCATTCAGAAGAGGAATAACTACATCAGGGCTGATTGTGATGTAGATATAGCTAGAATTTCAGACTTTTTTACTTCAAATTTCATTTTATATAAAAAATAAAAGAAAGAACTAAAAGTAGATGAAAAAACAGAAATACTCAGTATTTATAAAACTGATTTAATCTATTTTGTTTCTGTGGGCCCATTATTTGATAATTTGTTTAATTATATGGATGATATTATGCTGGAATTTAGAAAATTCTTGAGCACTGATAGCCTTGATGCTATGGAGACCATAAAATATTTATTTTCATGTACAAAAATGTATGTGAAGCTTTTGTGTTAAAAAAAATCCATCTGAGATGCCCTATAGGTATTCTAGGAATAAATTATTGGATAACTGAACAGGTTTAGCAAAATTATTTACATTTCATGAACCATTTTGTTCTTTCTACCAGGTCCTCATTTCCAACACTTGCTCATACACATAATATAAGTTCTGATCAAATACTTAAAGTTTTATGTAAAAGGACATTATCTATATCAAAATGTCCTAGCTGATCAAAACTGACAAAGAAAAATAACCAGCAGCCTCTCTGTTAAAAGCAAACTAAATTTCACAATTATTTTTTTTAATGTTGTGAAACTGAAAAAATAAATAACTGTGTTAAATGATGTAGTAAAACATTAATCATTTTTATTAAATTTAAAATGAATAAACTTTTTACTTCACTTCTGAAATTGTTTGGAAATATGCATGTATGTGTACCACGTTAATGTTCTAAATTATTTGAAATTATGTTCTTAAGTAGTTTCAGGATTTTTGAAATGGGGTTCTTAATCACTTCTGTTACATAGCTGCTCAGGTGATAGTCATATGAGGGCTCTTCGTTCACTTAATAGACGGAATTTACTACTGAGCGAGAGAAAGTCTCTATGGTTTTTTTAGTGTTGGTTGATATTTGCAGAAATAAATACTGAGATTCATGTTCATTTGTAGCCAAGAAAGAAAATTTCATAAAGCTCAAGAAAGAAAAAATTTTTTTAACTTGTACAAATTTTATATGAACATATTTCATTGCTTACTTTTAAAAATAGGTCACTGACAATATTAAAACTCTAGTAGAAATATTTTTTGTAAATAATTATATTATTATTATAATTAATTAAAATGATAATATAACACAAAATTATAATTATTTATTGTAGCAAAATTGTTGTAATAGTACAATAATAAAAATTATATGATAACTAAATTGATAAATAAGTAATTACAATAATTATTACTTATTTATACTTTATGCATTGCATTGAAATATGCTTATATACTATTGTGCTTTATTTGAAAACTTTAAATATCATTTTGGGGTCATATTTGCCCCACAAATGTCCTAGTGTACATTCAAATTTTAACTCAAGCACAGAATTTTTAATTTGGATTTTTTTATCTTCAAAATGAGTCATAGTCATTTTCAGATACAAAATAACACTTAAGCAAGATCACATCTTTTCAGTTTGTCAAAAATGCTACAATTTATAAAAAAGCAGCAATATTTGAGACTATTTTTATAATATCATTTAATGAAATTCTTTTGCATTTTCACATCATAATTTGCATGTATTATTATATCAAATATGGTAAATATAATTTGGGCAATTTTATTTTTGTATCAACATTTGTGGATAATTATTTGAGAAAATGTTATGTAAAAAAATAATTTTCTTGTAGATATACTCAATGAAAGATTTCAGGCAATAATAATTGAAATGAAGTATAAATTCTTGTTTAAATATATCCCATGCACGTTCTCCCTGGCTAATGATAAAAGGCTTCACTGGCTCAAAGATTTTCTGAAAAATATTGTATACCCCTAAAGGATATACTAGGGATTGTAAATTGGAGTGACCCTCTAAGCAACATTGTTGTTACTAACCTGGCTGTGTATGCAATACTCATCTGGTTGCCAAATGTATAAGTACTGTGAATGCTAGAAGTTTGACCAAAGTTAAAAAACTTTCAAGCAGACTGTCTATGTAAACACTTTTTGTAGTTTTCTCTATGTATCATGAATGCAAACCGATTTTGTGAAAAATATTTTCCATGGGACCATCCCTTCCCTTAGAAATATAGTCCTACCACATTTAACTAATCCAGTCTCATTTTCTGTGCAATGAACACAAACTTACAAAAGAAATCGCATAAATTTAGCTTGAATTTTAAAGCCCTTACCATATATCCAGATGGTCTTTTTACGAGATTTAACTGTGTCTGTGCCCATTTTTTTAAATCTGAAAATTACTTTCTTTTTCAGATACTCAATTGGAATTAATTGATCTAGATAAAGAGATAGCAAACTTAGTAGGAGGTTCTCCTGATCCTGATCCTCCAGATTTCTGGTATCGCAACATTGCATTACGTGTCGACATGGCTATCCTAGAACAAGTAGAAAATTTAGAAGAAAAAGTAGATGGCTCAAGTATGCAAGTTAAGGTATGATTGCTTCTAACTGTAATTGTATTGACTAGTTTCATATCACTTGTTTCTGCAATTAGATTTGAGAAAAATATGTTAAAATCAACAAGTTGAGGATTCTCAAAATGATTTTTTTAAGTATGGGAAAGAATAATAATATTGTGCATAAACGTGTGAAGAACTCTTTATTATTATTATTATTATTTGTCCACTGGCCCAAGAGAGGGTGCTACCAGCGATGTGACTGTGTATCAGTAAACATGTGTTAAAATATATACCTTTTTCTAGTGTTAAATAAAAAGATGTTAAAAATCATCGAGCTAAGCTGTCATCGTTTTATCTGCAACAACCCAAAAATGGCATCCATAGACGAAAGCCATATATGTATAAAACATTTATATATTTGTATCAAAAGAACTTGGAACTATATTTGTTACTTCCATTATTACTGAAATTATGTTTATAGAGAGAATCTGTTAATTTATAGAACAAGAAAGTATATTAAGCAGTATAATCAATGCCTCCTGTTCCATATTTATATTATAATCAATGCTGTATAGTTTGAGAATAAATTTATTGTGATTAGAGATCTTTTTTATTCATTCAGGCGGGATTCAATTGACGTTTTTATGTTAATTTTGTCTGATTAATTTCCTATATTTAAATTATTTCTTTTTAAATATGTTTTATTTTACATGTAGTTCTGGAAACCGCCACCTAAACTCTCTTTGGAACAAATTTCAAAGTTTGTTCCTTCATGTGAACAGTATGTCCAGCGTAAAGCTGAAGACATATATGATGCTATCAAGGACAAAAGTCAACGGAAAAGCAGCAAGAAAAGTCAGTCACGGAAAAAGAAGCCTCCTAAGAAAGAAAGTGAACCAGAGCCATGTGAAGTAGACCTTGAAAAGAAAGATGATGATGTTGTTGAACCTTTACCTGAAACCGATATGAACGAAGTAATTGAACCAGTACTGGAAGAAGCAGAAAAGTGTGCTTCTGAAGATCTGAATAAACCTGAAAACGATATCATACCTTTACCACCAGGGAAAATGAATCCTGTGGAAGAAGCAAAGAAAAGATTATTGAAAGTTGAAGCAGCCATAGAACGAAGATATCTGAGGCCTCCACTGGGCACAAGGTAAATTTTCTGGTATTCTTATGAAATTTTTTTTAATATACTGAAAAATGATAATGGGCAATAATGTAGCATTTTGGTGTATTGTAATTAATTAAAATTGCTGCATTGAGTTTAGCTGTGCAATCTACCTCAATGTGTTAACTTATTACAATTAGCAATAATTTAACATTTTAATGTATCTCAATAAATTGGAATTGTTGCTTAGTAAATAACATTTAAAAAATATCACAAGATGTGTACAAAATCAATATTATGTATACTGTCTACCTGTCACAAGAACTACACTCACCAGTATCTTTAGTTGGAAATGGTTGGTATGATAATTGACTTATACATTTCATATGAGAGCGAGTTAAATGAAAGTTGTTATTGTTATCTGGCTAATGTTGGCCGTAAGAAAGACAAAACAGTTTTTAACAATTAAAACATAATGTTTTTGGTCAAAACAAAAATAAAAAATTGCATAATTCCTCTTCATTAAATGTGCCAAAGGCAAATTTAAGTACATTTCTTCTCAATACCCCTATGAAAAATGAGTTAGGGCCAATTTCTACAGCAACAGATAGCTGTAGACATTCTGTCAGGAAATATTGACATAGTAAATAGACTATAGCATATATGCATTACTTGAAAGTTACAGTGTTTTACACAAAATAAATCAATTTACAAGGTGTTATGATAAGGACAAGATGATGAAAGTTGATATTATTGAGTAGCAGTATTCAAACAAGTTTGAGTGGACCATTGAAATAAAATAGTCAACAAGTCAAGAGTTACTCGTAACTTTTATACCTACAACTGATGAGTGATTTTTATGAATTCTTGAAGAAACTATGGAAATTGTCATTAATGAAATAACCTAACAAATGAAGTAAACTTGTTCATCAACAGTGAGGATGTTAATGAATTGATTGAATCTCACTCAGTGTTTAATGGAGCAACAAGTGTAAAATTCAATGCATAATAAAAGCGAAGAAGAAAACTACCCAAAATACTGATATTAAAAATATTTTACATTAGCTTAATCAGGGGTTGGCCGAAAAATTATGAGCAATGTAGGAAAACAACAAAGCTTTATAATAAATATTTAGAAAGTATAAATTCATCATTGAATAAAAGAAACAAATCCTTTTTATTCTTAAAATATTAAACTGAATGACACTTAAAGGCCATCTTTAAAGTAGAGCATATTACTTCTTTTTGGATTTCAATAAAAAAGAACATAAAGACAGGATTGACAAGGCATTAAAACTTTTTTTGTGTGACAAATTTAGAAACAGTGAACTTGTGGAAAGAACATTCTCAAATTACCTAAAAAAATGAATCATTTTAGTAGGTAGTTAAAACATTTTAATCAATTTTGATTAAAAAATTTAGTTTTTCAACCCAAGTTAAAAAAATGATTTAACAGTAGTTTTCAATGTATTTCATCAGAATTTTTTTTTTAAACGTGTTAAACATTTTTAATTATTAACTAGAGTTCTATTATATATGCTTCATTATGTATATTCTTTTTAAAATCATTCAGCTGGCTGCAAATCTGAGAATCTGGTTAGGAAATTCTCATTCAAAAATTATTTATCTTAAAAAAATTATTGTAACAAAGCAGACTTTGTTCCAGATTTTTAATTGTTCCAGTTTGATCCTGACTTTAAAACATTGCACATAATCAAGAATCACATTTATAAGGAGGCTAGAACTATTCAAAACTACCTTATTAAGGTTGTTTTTAATGTTTTTAAATTAATTTTTAAATATACAGTATAATATAGTAGTGTTTATTCTTATTATTATTCAGGCATAACAATTTTTAGATATACAGCATGACATATCATAATTCATTTTGTGTTGTGTAACAGCTTTTAACATTACTTTATAGGTTGAGTCTTATTTTTCAGTTTAGTGTGAACAAGGTTATATAATAGATTTAGTGTTTTACTGTAATACAACACTGTTTTAAGAATGTTTGGGACAGGGTTTCTTAACCAGTGGTGACAAGGAAGTCAACTGCTATAGCCTTGTGCCTGGGTTTGAATACCAGGGAAAAGGAATAGATATGTGTATTTGTAAGTGTGGTTGTGTCATTGTGGCATAGGAGCACTTAAAATACTGTTGAGCCAGAAGTACTTTCGAAAGATTGGTAAAAAGGGAAGAGAAGTGGCAGACTGTTGGGTCCACCCCCTAGAAGAGGGATATTCTTTCAAAGCTAAGGTGGAGCTGGGCATATTTACATTTGCACTGTAACCTGTAATGTGCACAAAGCCTAAGCCAGCAACAGGCTCTCTTGGCCACAATAAAATCCATACACTGATTTGATGATACTGTTGCACAAGGAAAATAAGTCTGAATAACATAACATATTGTTACAGATTTGGCACGCAACAATATGTATATGAGGCTTATCATATAATACAACAGAAACTGAGATTCATAAGCCCCTGGCAACCGTCCTTCAATTATTCAAGGTCAAGTTTTGATGCTGCTATGCTTATTTCACTGTTAACCCATGTTAACATCCGTTTACTGAACAGTTCTTCTGTGTGCAATCTTGTTTATTGCAGAATTTTATATCATGCAATGTGACACATTAATTCTGTTATCAACATTAAAATTGCTAGCATTGTAATATCCCATTCTACTGAACTCAACCTTAAAAATAGTTGCTTTTATTTTTTTGTGCATTTATGCTTGTAATTAGCTAAGTTTACTTCAAATAAATCTGTAACTTATAAGAATAGTATTAAGAAGCTTGACTACTACATAATTTAATTTAATCATTCAATGTTTTTTGTTGAGTGCTTTTTGCTGTTATATCATGTTTCTGTTTTTAATAGTGCAAATGAGCTAAACAGATCAACCTTATCCAATAATGGAGCTAATAGTAGCCAGTCAGTGTTAGAAACTCCAGAGGAAGACCCTATACCTGTCGGTCTCGTGAAGTGGCGAAATGCAGTGCAAAATTGTCGGACGGCCGCACAGCTGGCCATGTGTATAAATTTCCTCGAAACCTGCACTGCATGGGATAAATCAATAATGAGAGCTGTAAGTTTATGTATCGATTGTCGGTATTAAAATTGCATATTTATTAAATTCTTGTTTTCTCCTTTTAGTTCATTAATTATTTTATGAATTTTAAATAAAACCTGATTCTATAAAAACTTTTCTTATATCTAGATCCAAAGAGGGAAGATTTTAAAATATTAAATCTTTTTCTTTGGATCTAGATTGAGTCTGTACCATAAACTTAAGATATAGTAAAATTTTGCATGCTGTATTTAATGCTTATTATTATTTTTTTTTTAATTCTTATTTTTATTTTTTTTAATTCTTATTTTATGTAGGTTGTTACTCGGCATTGTTTTTTCAAATATTTAAAAGGGCACTGATTATTAGTAGCAGAATGTTTCATCACCCGTTATTCAATGTTTTTAAAGTTTTAGCATACACATTGCAACACATGTTCATGTAGTTGCAGTTTATTATGACCCAGGTATATGTGATTGCTCTTTAGAAAAGAAGATGCTCAGAACAGAATAATTTAATAAATTATTAATAATAATATTTGTAATTATCAGTGAGTGCTTACTAAGTTTAAAGAAATTAATAAATTTAAGTAAATAAGAATAATTGTATAGCAAAATTAATAAGTTCAGATTTTGTTATAATCCATATTTTGTGAACTATTGCTTGTCCTTCTAATGTTTGATTTTCTACCTTCTGGAAACAGCATAAGCCTTTCATTATTAGCCCAGATGCTTAAATTTTCTGCAAGTAAATCTGAAGGTTTCAGAAGCATGAAAGATAAGAATGTAGATTAGATAAATGATTATAGAGAAGGTCTCAAATGTAGAAGGTTAATTATTCATAAAGATGACCATATTGCTGAAACTGCACGCCAGTAGAATTCTTTCTTTTGCTCATTTGAGCCAGTTTATCATACAGATTCCTCCATGAAGTCATGCCTTTCCTATGACCCATGCATAGTTTCCACAAATAAGATTTAGGGTATAGCCTATTTTGGGGGGGGGGTATCTGATTGTAGCATGTTGGGAGGAGAAAGAAATTGTATGGATATTTTTTAACTTAATGAATTTCATCTGAAAGGTGGGTTTTTTTTTGGGGGGGGTAACTGATTAAAAAAACTTTATTAACTTAAGTTCTGTTATGAGCAATTCATTTTCTTTATTCTTTTAAAAGAATTCAAATCGTAAAATATTGTTGGGAAATTCTGACTCACAAATCCTTTTTTCTTTAAAGTACTTTTTATGTATCGTCCTATTTAACATTTCTGTCCTGTTTTATGTATTAATAGAAATTACTATTATTTCAAAAGAAATTTGATTATATCTCTGTTATCAATTTAGAAATGAATATTATATAAATATAATCCATAACTTGTTATTATACATTCTGATTTGTGATTTTTCTTTTTAGCTGTAAAAACAGTATGCAAGTCATTTATATTGTTAAAAAATATTTTGCCTCCCAGATTGTACTAAATTTTTGTGGACGTTGTTTTATATCTACATAAGAATATTCTCTATGATTTCTAGAGTTGCCAGTTTTGTCATAGTGGAGATAACGAAGAAAAGTTACTACTTTGTGATGGATGTGATAAAGGCTATCATACATATTGCTTTAAGGTAATTTTTTAAAAATCCATTTTAACTGTTTTTTTAAATCTATCAACACTTTTTGATTCATAATCCTTTTTCAGAAAGTCTAAATTTTGATTTAATGTGCCCATAGCTTAAATAAATATTGAAATTAAAAAAATAAATATTACAAATGTAAAATTTTCCTTCTTAAGGCATGTAACATAAAGTAAATTGGTATTTATATAATTATGTGTGCGAAATTAGATTGTATTTTGCATTCTAATAAGAGTTATTATTTTCACTATTTAGCCTGTTATGGAAACAATTCCTGATGGAGACTGGTACTGTTTTGAGTGCTTAAATAAGGTAAATGTACTTTATTTGTAAACTAGTATGTTTGGAAAAGAAAAATCAGTTGCTGTAGCATTGTATCATATTCTTTTTACCAGTTAATATTTTTCTTGAAGGGTTATATGGTAAATACAAACTTACCATGTTTTTCTTAATATTAAAAACATGTGGTGTAGGGGTAAATAAAAACTAATTCACAGATTTAAAATAAACCTTTAATAATACAACATAAATATTTAATCATACAGAGTGAAATCCCAATTAGAATACAATCATACTAAAAAATATCTGGAAATATCTCCTTTCATCATATGGCAGATACAAATCATAGAACAATATGGAAAGAGCAAATGTTGCCATACAGCATATACAAATCATAAAAAATAAGATCCTCGCAGTACCAGATAATACTTGTCTATTTATACCAGCTTTTGCAGTAGGTCACAGCTCACTTTTTTTCCAATGTATATAATGCCAGCAGTTAATCACAGTTGTTGATCATATTGCCTTTGTTTGACATATATTTGGCATACATATGCAAAATATTAAACCTGACATCATGAAAAGTTAAATCATTAGCATTCTTCAACAACAAATGTATGAACACAGTGATGAGGAATTTATTTAAGGAAAAATTATTCCCAAAAGTAAAATGCATGTTCAATTGTCAGAAAATGTTATGCTTTTCAGAAGTGAAGCAGTATGTTTCAAATCTTAATGCTTGAAAATTTACTGTATCATTGATAATTATTTAAAGAATCCAAAAGTTTTTTTATCCTTCCTAATCCCCCCTTTGGGAGAAAAACGTTAAATCCAACTTTCTTGTCTTTTTCTTTCTTCCCCCCCCTAATCTATATTTCTTTCATACAATTTGAGCAAAATATAGATGGGGGGAGGGAAGATTCATGATAGGTATGTGAATGATTTACAGTATTCGTGTACATTTTTATATTCATTTATGCTATTTCATCATGGCATTTTATGAGCATTTTATTCTAAACTTCTACCAGATGCAGTTGTTACGTTCTGTTCCAGGGCAGCTACTGGCTACATATATTACATTTATTTATTTAAATTGCAAATAATGTATAAATATGCTTTTTATTTCTTCAGAATGAAATTTTACTTAATAATACAGTATGTTGATTACAGAAATGAAGTATAAAAAGAGACAAATAAAACTGAAACAAAAATATTACCTTAATAATAATTGCAGTGAATTTGTGAGATTAAATATATAATAAACTATTTTGTTGATAAAATTATATACATGCAATTGATTATTACTGAAATGTCTGAAGAGACCGTAAAGAAAAAAAGTTTAAAAAGCATGAAAAACATCCAGAATAACTGTAATGAATCTGTGAGATTGAAGATGCTGTCAGGAAATACATTTTAATTGTATTAAATCACAAACATGACTGGCAACAGTTTGTAATAGAGAACTAAGGTACTCAAGTGATAAGTCATTATCTAATTTTGGATATTTATAAATTTCTGTGCAACTTATCTGTAAGATTGGTTGTGCTGATCAGAGGATCAAGCCCAAAATTCCCATAGACTCTTGAAAACCTCTTGTCTTTTAGACATTTACTGATTCCTAGTTAGTTTATATAGTTAGATCTAGATACATATGGGGCTCCACATTTTTTATCAAAACAAATGTTACTTAACTTTAATTTTGATATTCATTATTATCATATTATAAGTACTCTTCTTTTATCGAGATCTCAAATTACATAACTTTGGTTTTATAAATTTAAAAAAAAAAAAAAATCTGTATGGATTGTAAGTGCCTGCAAAAATTAGTAGTTGTTGAAGTGAAAGTTAAACTATACATGCTTGAAAAATTATGAAATATTTTTATATTCTAAAGTTATTCCTATAATATGAAATCACTGTATTTTTCTTTTACAAAATAAATTCTCCAATATTATAACCTACAGTTTCTTTAATTTACAATATCCCTTAACTAACCTTTTATATATATATTTCAGTTTCTGTACAAAAAGTATCCTTTTCATTATAAAAGATTCTGCCAATATTTTTCCAAAATTTTTGTATTTTTAAATATTTTTGTGATGCAAAATAAAAATATAATAACAAGTTAAACAATAACAAAACATAGAATATAATAAAAAGTTAAACAATTAAAACTTAGAATATAAAAATATTCCAAGTTTTAACTTGTTATTGTGTTTTTGTTAAAAATGAACACATAAGATAATTTTGAAATTATTTTGAATTTTAGTACATGAAAGAAATGGTAAAAAAGAAATATATGAAAAATACACAAAAATTTTAGTTTACAAATTAGAAGCCGTCTGGTAGACCTTGAAGCATGACCTAAACATATAGGCATGTTACAGCCTGGACAAAAGCCTGGCCTTTTCTACAAGATTTTTAGATGAAGTCCTATTCTCATACTTCCTGAGAAATTACAAAACAGGCTGAATTAGCAAGGGACAGTGAATCATGAGTTAACTCATAATTATTTTTTACATTTTTTTTATGATCAAATTAATTCGAAATAACCAGCCACGTGGTTAAAATCCAAGAACATATTTCACAGTGACTCTGTTATTTGTAAAGTAAAAAATTTCTTTTTTATTTTAGGCAACTGGAGATAATGTTTGTGTGATATGTGGAACAAAAGGAAAATTAGTTGAATGTGAGGCCTGCCCCAAAACATTTCATTTAAATTGTCTAGATCCACCATTATCAAAGTGAGTCATTTATAGTATTGTGTATAATGAACATTTGTGAAGTGAATATTATATTTCAACAGATGTTTTTAATCTCATCAACTGGTATGCTGTAAATAAAATTTATTTTAAACGGGGTTCGTAGCGGTCCTTACAAGTGCTTATAAGTCCTTATATTTGAAAATAAAATATAAAGGTCCTTATAGGTGCTTACTTTTTCTTTAAAGCCCTTATTTTTTTTTTATTGCTTTTTTTTTTTTTTAATCCTTTATTTTTATTCAACGCACATTTTTTCCCCGTACCAAAGCCGAAACTAAATAAACAACTTTTCTTCCTTATATGCAACGTCAGATGGTGAATCATACTCCCGAAAATTGCTTTCCCCCCTTCCTCTGCATTAACGTAACCTATGCACGCGAGAGTACAGACAGGTGCAAGGTGCACGTCGTTCTATTGGCCAAAGAATTGCGAAAACGTAGACATTCGGTATTCTTTTCCTCCCACCAAAATACTGCACACGTTTGAATTTCTATCAACATTTTAATAAATTTGCATTCTCGTTCCGGTCAGTTCATATTCGTGTTTATTATGATCGTTATGCTTATATTATGAGCATATATATGAATATTTATAATAATATAATTGCAGTAACTGCTGAAGTATAGATAAACTTCCAAAAATGGGTGTGTTTTTACACAGATTAGTTTTCTAAGGAATAATATTTGGAATGGCTTAAATAAAAGGAAAGTAATCGAATAGTCAAAATAATTTCATTTTCTTTGCCAATACATTATACAGTACGGAGGTTGGGAGTTTCTCTGCAAAATCTCTAATATTGAAGCAGCGGACTTCTTTTTTGTCACTGTCCAATCTGGATTGAATAGGACTAAAAGTTTTTGCGGTCTACCCAACCCAAGCGAAGATTGATTCTATTCCAGAAATTTAATACAGTCTGTTGAAAATTAGAATGAGAAACAGCGCAGATTAGTAAGTCTCTTTCTTTTCCTTTATTTAGTTCTTCTTTCTCCGAATACCGGCAGGTGTTGATTCCGATTGCGTAATATCAAGTATGGAAGAATTACGCCGCACGTATTCCACAGTAACGTTTGCGGATTTTGCATTGATAATTAATTTTGATGTTCGGTCTGAGATTTGTTTATGAACACTTAAGACTTTTACTGTGCTTTCTAAGCAGAATATTTCTCAGTTCCATTGGTTTTTATATGATGCACATATCGAAATGTCAAAATCATTTATTTAGCCTAAATTTAAATCTAAAGAACGGCTACAATCTCCCCCACTCCTCTTTTTCCAGTTACTATCCGGAAAATTCGGGAATTTCCGAGTATGCTGGTTAGTTAAGCTTTTACTGTTAAAGGATGACTGAATGAAGCAATTTCCCGTCTTCTGATTTCAGAAATGTGCCTCTTTTTTACTTAAATTACTTTGCTTGTGATATATGTTAAGTAAAAACTGTTATGCAATGAAAATTTAGAAAATGTTCAGAATTTTGATTTAAGTTAAATTATTTAAATATTAATATGAGTGGAAAAATAAATTGTATTTATTATTAGGTGCCAAACGAATACAATTAATATGGCTTATTATTATTTATTTTCTATATTTTCAACTGAAATATCATCATTAAATTTTGTAATATAGTTTAGTTCTGCATAGTTTTTTTTTTTTTCCTCTCATCGTAAACTAATTCTGTAAATTGAACTGTCATTTAAAATTTAAAAAAAAAAAAAAAGTTAATTGTTTTCCATTGTTGAGGTAATGCTCATTCTCTTAATAAATATTGCATTGCTCATATTTTAAATTACAAGTCTAATTTTTCTTTTAAGGTTATGCAGTTGTGTATAATGTAATTAGACAGGTGCTTATTTTTTTCTTAAAATGTGCTTGAAAAGTGCTTATAGGTGCTTATTTTTTTAACTAAAATTGCTATGAACCCTGTTAAATTATGTCATTCAGATAGGATATTAAGAAAGTTAATGCAAATTTGAATTTAAAAGGAGGTACTTATCATTGGAAGGTAACTGAAAGTTTTGTTTTTTTGTTTTGTTTTTATGGCATGGCAACACTTGCTAAGTCATGTAAATTATAAATGTCTAGAAATGTAACACAACAATGCAATGTTTTAAAAAATTTTCTGCTAAATACATTTCTACTATTAAAACTAAAAAACATTTTTACTAATATTTAGTTTTATTTCATAAAACATTACTTTTTTAACATCAGTTTACTGCATAATACTAAAATCACAAAAATTTTGAAACATGCATTGGTTATCTTTAAAGAAATGTACATGTTGGTTTATCTTTAAAGAAATGTTTATTTAGAATCCTTAACCAATAGAACACACTTCTAACACTTTTTAAGAAGAAGTAAGTGCTACTAGAGATTACAATAAAAGGCTCCATTGAAAGTTATAAAATACCTAAAGTAAATGGAGATGCAGTCACTACTTTCACTGTTAAAAAAAAGCATGAGAAAAGTAAAGTAATTTCTACTCCTACGAGCAGTTTAATAGACATTCTTAAAAGAATATTGAAAAATGTAAGCATAAAGCTCTCCCAAAAAAAGTTCTCAAAATTAAAAAAACGGGGGGTCAATAAGGAATACATTTCCTGATTATTTTAGGTTTATCTTATGAAGAACAAACATTTCTACACTGCAGAATTCCATTAATTTATGTTTTGCAGTCTATGATTTGTGATCCGGTTAAAATGTTATTCAGTAATTAGTGAAACTGATTAACCCTTTGATGCACACAATATTATTTTTATAATTTTTTTAACTAAAATCTCTAGAAATTGAATATCATGATCCTAGAGACAAGTAATATATAAATTTGAAACAATCTGCTCTTGCCCATTGTTCTGTGGGTGGTGGTCACACTGTGAAACCACAGTGTATCGAGGACTTTGAAACTTACTGATGTAGTAGGGGGGGAAAAAAAAAAAAAAAAACTTACTTTCACCTTGCAAGTTTCCAACAAATGACGAAATTTACGAATTTAAAAAAAAATTATGTAAAAATTGTATTATGTATAATTTTTTTTTACATTATTTTACAAAGTACATCGTCAGGAAAAATGAAAAAATAAGCATGCATGTAATTTTTCTATAGCAGTGAAAATATAAGTATCTACATAATAAGGACACTCAGCTAAGTGGATTAAAAAAACTCAGTAAAATAAATAATAATAATAATAATAAAAGACTCAGTGTTTTTTTTTTTTTTTTTTCTTTTTAATTTCAAAGTACAATTTTTTTTGTGACACTGTTCAAAGCATGTTTCATTTTTTTGGTACATACATAGACCCACATTGCACGTTTCACACATGTATCTTCTTCTATGAGGTTTCTTCCTTGTGCTACAAAATGTACACTGCCTGGATCTAAATTTCACTGGTATATGTCCTGCATTATTTAGTTTCTTATCATCTGGCACATGAAATTTGGGGTTTTTTATGTTAATTCAGGGGGCTTGGTCTTTTTGGCTTTGGTACGGATCATTCGTTTCCAATTCATATAGTTACTTTATTCGTATTTCGTCCCAAAATATTTTTAATTTAAATAAAACTTTATGCAATTTCTATTTTTAATTATAGCAAAGTATATTTACATTAAATTTAAACCACAGAAAATAATGTATAAAATCACAATACTAGCTTGGGGAGCAAGTGTTTTGAGGTCAGAGAAATGTCTCTGGAAAAGAAAGACCTTTTTACTGGGCAGGTGCATGTATTGTTTAGTAATAAAATAACTGTGTGGTTTCAAAACCCCTGATCTATATGAGTAAAAATAAACATTCCTATTTGAGAAACAAGCAAAGGTTCAAGGCGCGACCACCGAGCCTCTAGAGCATTGTGTCACAATGCTAGTGGCGCAGTGGTCGCACCCTGAAACCGCAAAGCAAATGCCATACATTTAGAGGTTTATATATATATATATATATATATGCAGTTTAATTAATGCTATTTTTAATTGTTTATGATAGAAATCATGATGTGCGATGAATAACTTTTGAAATTTAAAGTTGTTTATATTAATAAAAGGAAGTTATTTTGTCTCATTGAAAAAGAACTTTAAAAGGCATCCAATTCGAAGTACGAAGACCTAAAACATGTAAGAGCGTGACCACCGTGCGTCAAAGGGTTAAAGATGCATAGGCACATGCGTAAAGGTATTATGCTCATGCGTTAACGCAATATGAGTTGACGCATGCGCAGAACGTTTGTAGAGGTCCGGATTGTAGATCATTCCGGATTATGGACGTCTGGATTAAAGACTTTTGACTGTATAGAGTCAAATTTATACAAATTAAAATAATACATATCAATTAATAACATAAAATTGCAAAATATTTGAGGGAAAAAATTTCACCCATGACCACGCATGTGTTGTAACTTTTACGAATAAGCTGACACATAGCACAAAAGACCAGTAAAAAAAAAAAAAAAAAAAAAAAAAAGAGGAGCATAAGGGGCATATGACTTCTTGTTGGCATATTCCATGATGTGGGGAAGGGTTGAAAGGAGGAATAAAAATGACTTTCAGATGTCTCAGCTGCGACATGCGAAAAATGTGCATTAAAAACCGGATATGTTGTAAACTTTGTGCATGACGTGTGTGCTGGAAGGTTAAAGGCCCTAGAGTGCATAGATATGTATGCTGTAAAATTAAAATTGATATTAGATTGATGTCTATTTGCTTTCATTAATGCAGCCTATTTCTTTTCAAACTAGTAATGATAAACATTTAGTGTTAATATGCAAAGTAACTGGAAATTATTTTGCATATTAATCGTCAAATTATATACTCTTCATCTGATCTGTAATCATTAGGAATGTTGAAAATATTTTTCCTTGTATATAAAATTAACAGAAAACAGGGTAGTTAAGTATTAAAGTGGAAGAATATTTTATGTAAAAGTTATTTTAAGCACCTTTCTTATTTAATATATTTGTTTTCCCCTTTTATCAAAAATGTTGTTTTACTTTTGAAAAAAAAAAATTCTCAATTTTTACTTGCCTTTTTTTAGTGATCTAGACCAGTGTTTGCCTAACATCATAGTCTAGTAAAAGCTTTTATTTATTCAGACTGAAAGGACAAAAATTAATCTATTATAGGTAACTGCATATAACTAATACAGCTTAAGATATATCATTTAATAAATTCAAGAAAGCATAACAAAATATAGTACTTTTCTGTTAATTGGACGGCAGTGCCAAATGTGCAGCAGAGCACCAGATATAATAAACTGTTTATAGTGCATCATTAAAGCTGTGCAGTGATGTTGCAACAATAAGCAGAAAGAATGAACATTAGTCTATGAAGTTTAACAGTTGGTTAAGCAAATGAATTTTCAGCTATTGGATATGAAAGTCTGCCATTCAACCCCAACTTGATCCTGGTATACAGTGCAGTGTGTAAAATCATTAAATAAGTATCAATGCGGCACTATGTGCCATAGCTTGAAATTCCTACTTTGTCAGATTCGTTTGACAGCAATAGCCTGAAAAGATGCATATTTTTTTTACCTGTGTTGAATGAAACCGTGAGTTTTATGTCTCCTGTGTAATATGTAAGTAATCTTGCAAATTCTATTTTATATTTTTGTATTTGTCTTTTTGTGTTTATTATGAATTTAAAAAATAATAATCCTTTGATGATTAATCATTCACATTGTTAGGGTTACTATCATATGATTAGATTTAATGCCTATGCTTATCTTTGGCTCTAAATTGAACCTCTGTTACAGAAAAATGCCAAAAATTTTGAATTTTTTTCAAATTAATAAGCTGAATATAATTATTATTTCAGAATGCCCAAAGGGAAGTGGTACTGTTCTGGCTGCAATTTAACAAGGGTAAGTTTATCTAAGAATTTTTTTTTCACTTTTATCTTCATGTTCTATTTTGCTTTATCTTCTTTACTGAGTTATTTGTGGAATCTTTTTTTAATTGGAATTATTTGACTAGTTTCAAGATAGTAAAAGTAATAATCTCTTTCTCTCAAACACGATAAAATATAATAATTTATTAATATAATTCCAAGTACTATATTAGTTACTTTAATTACATTAACATTTTTCAGCCTAAAAAATCTTGTAAAAAATCCAGTTCTACTAAAGAAAAAGAAAATTCCAAAGATACAAAAGAAGGTTCAGAAAAGACTACTAAAAAATCTGAAAGTGGACAACCTTCGAAATCTAAAAGTACAGAAAAGAAAGAGAAAAAAGAAAAAATCCAAACTCCTCCTGGAAATAAAGATTTAGCTCCTTGCAGGTATTATTATTTTCAATTCTATAGCATATATATTTAAATGTTATCTGATTTTATGCAACATCCAGTTATAATATTTTTGTTTTAAAATCTGGTCTTTGCCATTTAACTAACTTTTGATTTTTTTTTTTTAAATTTGAAATCGTGCAAAGTTTTGCTTATCAACTATTTGTAATTAAACTACTGTTTAGAAACTAGGTTTAATTAACTCTATCACATTCTTCTACATGTTCAAAAGCATCCTTCATATGAGTGGCATAATTCAGGCACACAAATCTGCAATATGGGCCACAGTCTTAATGACACTGTTTCCTTTACAAACTTTACTGAAACAAATCGAAGAAATCCTTTTTTTATGCCAGTCTTCCTGGCAAACATAATTTTGGGGGGTCCTTCCAGCTATATAAGCCATAGTGTACATTAATTTCAGATATACGTGTCACTCTTTTTTCAACATTTCTTCTCTGAGCATCTTGTATATTTATTCATTGGAAGCCAGCATTATTACATATTACAGTTATTTATAACCACTTTTTGTAAAAGTTATTTGGTCTACTATGGACTTATACAAACACTGAATGTTGGCATGCAGAATTTCAGATACTGAGCAAGTTCAAGCATGTTACTGTAAATAGTGTCTTAATGTGTCCCATATGTGTTTGATTAAGAAAAAAGTCTGGAAATTGGCAGGCCAAGAGATGATTGTGATGATACTACACTGCTACCCTCATTGGTTTAGTGTTTAGTGATGGTGGTTGGCCCAGGTTTGAATCCCGGAGAAGGCATGGATATTTGTAAGTACTAGTGTCTGTATGTCATAAGGATAATAAAAATATTGGTAAACTCTGAAGTCTCTTGAGTGTTTCAGTGCTTGAAGAAGAGAAGCGGGAAACCTTCAGATCTATTCAGCATTTTCCTGTGGCATTCTCCATCAAAATTGGGGGACATGGCTGCACACTTAGAGGAGTGAAATTATTCATGAACAATCAATGGTGAAATTCCAATATACCATCTACTTGTATCTGCACCTCAACATTATTTTTCTTTAATTGCTCTTACTAAAATCGGGTTACATTCATAAGATTGCTAACAATAACAGAGTTCGTAGCGGTCCTTACAAGTGCTTATAAGTCCTTATATTTGAAAATAAAATATAAAGGCCCTTATAGGTGCTTACTTTTTCTTTAATTTTTTGTTTATTAGTGCTTATTTTATGCTTTTAGAGCTTTTTTTTTTATTCCTTTGTTTTTCAATGAACGCACATTTTTTCCCCGTACCAAAGCCGAAACTAAATAAACAACATTTCTTCCTTATAAAATGTAACGTCAGATGGTGAATCATATTCCCAGAAATTGCTTTTCCCCCCTTCCTCTGCATTAACGTAACCTATGATGCGCACGAGAGTACAGACAGGTGCATGTCGTTCTATTGGTCAAAGAATTGCAAAAGGTGCATGATAGGCCAAAATTCGAAAACCCGGTACATTTGGTATTCTTTTCCTCCCACCCAAATACTACAACATTGAATTTTATCAACATTTTAATAAATTGCATTCTCGTTCTGAGTGGTCAGTTCATATTCGTGTTTATTATGATCGTTATGCTTATATTATGAGCATATGTATGAATATTTATAATAATGTAATTGCAGTAACTGCTGAAGTATAGATAAACTTCCAAAAATGGGTGTGTTTTTACACAGATTAGATTTCTAAGGAATAATATTCGGAATGCCTTAAATAAAAGGAAAGTAATCGAATAGTCAAAATAATTTCGTTTTCTTTGCCAATACATTATACAGTACGGAGGTTGGAGTTTCCTCCGCAAAATCTCTAATATTGAAACAGCAGGTCTTTCTTTCTTTCTTTCTTTTTTTTTTTTCGTCACTGCTCAATCTGGATTGAATAGGACTAAAAGTTTTTGCGGTCTATCCAGCCTAAGCAAAGATTGATTCTATTCCAGAAATTTAATGCAGTCTGTTGAAAATTAGAATCCGAAACAGCCCCAGATTACTAAGTCTCTTTCTTTTCCTTTATTCAGTTCTTCTATTCTCCGAAATACCAGCAGCTGTTGATTCCGATTGTGTAATATCACATGTGGAGGAATTATGCCGCACGTATTGCGCAATAACGTTTTTGGTATTTTGCAGAGATAATTAATTTTGATGTTCAGTCTGTTCAGTTGTTTATGAACACTTAAAAGAGTTTTACTGTGCTTTCTAAGCAGAATATTTCTCAGTTCCGTTGGTTTTTATAGGATGCACATATCGAAATGTCAAAATCATTTATTTAGCCTAAATTTAAATCTAAGAACGGCTACAATCTCCCCACTCCTCTTTTTCCAGTTACTATCCGGAAAATTCGGGAATTTCCGAGTATGCTGGTTAGTTAAGCTTTTACGTTAAAGGATGACTGAATGAAGCAATTTCCCGTCTTCTGATTCAGAATGTGCCTCTTTTTTACTTAAATACTTTGCTTGGGATATATGTTAAGGGAAAACTGTTATGCAATGAAAATTAGAAAATGTTCAAATTTGTTTTTAAGTTAAATTATTTAAATATAATATGAGTGGAAAAATAAATTGTATTTTATTAGGTGCCAAACGAATAAATTAATATGGCTTATTATTTATTATTTTATATTTTCAACTGAAATATCATCATTAAAATTTTGTAATATGTTTAGTTCTGCATAGTTTTTTTTCCTCTCATCGTAAACTAATTCTGTAAATTGAACTGTCATTTAAAATTTAAAAAAAAAAGTTAATTTTTTTTCCATTGTTGAGGTAATGCTCATTCTCTTAATAAATATTGCATTGCTCATATTTTAAATTACAAGTCTAATTTTTCTTTTAAGGTTATGCAGTTGTGTATAATGTAATTAGACAGGTGCTTATTTTTTCCTTAAAATGTGCTTGAAAAGTGCTTATAGGTGCTTATTTTTTTAACTAAAATGTGGCTATGAACCCTGAATAAAATAGAAATTTTGACAATTAAATAATAATGATGAAAGGGCTGGGACATATGTGCTCCACATGTTCACTGTGTTAAATAATGCTAAAAAAATTTAGTTAGTTATGGAGATTTAAAGTATGTTACTTAATAGGGAGCAGGAAATGACAGACCTCGTCAATTTGTTGTTCTGTTCCTTGCTGATTTAATAGTTAACCATATGGCTTCAGTACGTAGTCTCTATAGCCAATGTGAAATAGATAAGAGAATGAATGCAGATTTGTCAATTTCTCAGAGTTGTCTCCGCTATACAGTCGACATTAGCACATGAAGTAGCAACAACCTGTGATGGAATAACATTGCATAATGTTGCCAAGGTTTATAATTAACAATGACCCATAATCAAAAGTGCAAAAATTTGTTTAAATAATTATTTTAGGGTACCTGCATACATGTAATTAATTTTCTCCAAAAATACAGCGAAGAAGAGCGTGGTTGAATTCTCTTTTATTTATGGATGTATTATTTCAGTGAACCTCTTTCATCTTGAGCATGTTTGGGGCCAATGAGAAAATTATTCTGATTTATGACTTTATAATTTTTTTATTTGTATAGTAAAGTATTAGTTTTTAGGATTATTTTAATTTTATATATATCTTTCAATTATATTTACAATATTTTGTTTTAATTTTTTTCTTTTTCCACACATGTATTGAAAATGTATAAATTTATTGTTATGCGGTAGTGTTAAACATGAACAAAGTATAAGTATGCATAAAATAAGCAAAAAAAGATTTTTTTTTCTGGTCAGTTTTCTCCTTCTGGAATGAACTTGCCTATTCTGCCAAGAATAACACCACTTCCAAAACCATTCTTTCGTGTAATGCCATTGCATTACATTAAATCTTATATAATAGTGCCAAATGTGTCACTTCAAAAATTTCTCATGAACTGTATAATGTAACTGCGACTGAATTTAGCAGCATTAGAACAAATTTGTCTCCTCTTTCAGTATGAGCATTCAAAACTGTGACATACGTTATTATTGCATGCAAAAACCAAAAAAAAAAAAAAAAAAAATTATTACAGAGTTTTTTTAATGATGTAGGTTTAGTTTAATATTTGTTTCTTTTTTAATTCATTTCATCTGTATGTTTTTTGTAAATAGTTATTTTTGTGGCTTCTGTTATTGATATGAATGGAAATTTAAACATGAAAGAAAATCTCATTGCTAATACAATACAAAATCTGAAACCCAGACATCCAATATCTAGAACTGCAGACCACCAGCCAAAAAATAAATTAATTAATGAAATAATACAATAATAACACACAAAAAATCACATCTCTTACAAAATCTAGAAGTGGAGAATATAATACTGACAAAAGGAAGCAAGTATGCTATAAATGTTATTTTTCTCATGACTAACTAAGATTCCTGCGTATAATTTCAAAACACTTGCTGTCTAGGGAGTCGTACTGTCAACACATTAATTAAATTTGTATTAATGTTGGCCGGGATGACACTTTTAGGCCTTCAGCGGTTGTGTGAAGAGCCACTGCTAGGCATTTTGACGCCTTTGTTGCCTCTATGAGTAGGAAATTCTAAAAATGTTTTCACTATAAATTGTTGCATATCGGCATCTTCTAAATTCTTAAAAAAAAAAAAAAAAAAAAAAAAAAAAAAAGTTAAGTATTTTTGTACTATTTGCATTAAAAAAAGTAGTAATTGAACTTTAAGATATTAATTAGTTACCATTTACAGAAAGAAAATTACAATAGTTAGTTTGAAAATTGTGTCAATATCAAATAAAACAAAAATTAATGCCTTTTATAACTGTGGGCTGAACATCTGAGATATTCTGTTATGTTATTATTTCTGAAATTCTGCAAATGCTATGCTTACACAATTCATCAAAATTTCTGGAAAAATTAATCAGCTACTTCTGAGAAATCACTCATGCAAGTGGGGAATTCCCATTTTTATGAAATCTTAATAATTCAAAATGGAATTACTTTGGAATCTTGTTAGCGCATTACTTACTCTCTTAAAATTAAAAAAATAAGTTAACTTTTGTCGTGTGTAACAATCTGTATAAAATTGTATACAAAAACATTTTATATATTATTCCATAGATATTTATTGATTAGTTCTAGGAAATATTTTGGTCATTTTAGAATATGCATTTCATTGCAACCTTTTTTGTTTAAAAATGTTAGAGAGCCTGAAGTATATAATAGGTAAACAAAATTATTAAACTAAATAAACTTAATATAATATAGGCATGTAAAGAAAAAATATATCTTGATGGTGAATAGTCCCATTCGCTTTTGGGATGAAGTAGCATTCTCCTAAGCAAAGCAAAGCTCCATGCTATATTTATGTATAATCTGCCTATATTTAAAATCTAGAATCACCAAAGTCCATACGATTCCAGATCTCAGACTTAGTACTGTATATGTTTGTGGGTGTGTATATATATATGTATATTAACAAGAAAAGGTTATTGCAAGCATGCAAATAAGACTATTCAAATTACACAGACAATGAGAATATTTAAATTAGTGCTAGATTTAATTGTTACATATGAATAAAATTTAGGTGTAATAATATAAACAAGCTCAAAAATTAGTCTTCCACATATTTCTTCCAACCAGTTTTTTTTTGACTGTGGAAGAAACTACCTGTCTCCTATATATAGAGATATGTTCTGTTTCCATTATCTGTATTTCATTCAGAACTAATAACAAATTAATAATATGTAATCACAGTTTACTGGAAATTTTGTTAATTTTTTCAATACCATGATTTCAGTACAATTCTTGATGAATTGGAGAAGCATGAAGACGCATGGCCTTTCTTAACTCCCGTCAACACAAAACAATTTCCTACTTACCGAAAAGTAATCAAGAAACCGATGGACATCGCCACCATGCGTGCTCGACTCGAAGCTGGCCAGTAAGTATATTTTCTTTCCTCCCTTTCCAGACTGCTGATATTGGATTTAATATCTAAATTCTTTTATGCTAGAAATCCTCTCTTATTTGCTGCTGTACTTTTTTCTCTTTATTGTAACATTAGTGTTAGTTACAATAAACAATTGTAACATTAGTGTTAGTTACAGTAAACATTTGCGTTAATTACAATTTCATTCTGTGTAAGTGCACTGTCTTCAAAGATATTAATGCTTGTTGTATTTAATTAGTGCATTAATTTCTAAATGGTAAAGCCACCATTCTCTTTAGGGAGTGATTACTTTAATTATAGCAGTTTTGATCACTTTTTAATTCCTTAATTATAGATGTACATTTCATATCATTGAATTTATTTTATGTTTGTTACATTCTGAAGAAGACCGCTCTCCAAAAAAAATTTTCCTTTGTGTTCCAGTATGTTTTTTTTAATACGCTGAAATATATGTATGACATAATTTTTATTTTATACAAATTTTCCACATAAATGGTATTCTGGAGTTTATGTATTTAATGAGAAACATTGTGATTGAATGAAAAAGTGGTTTAACAAAACATTGACTACGACAACTAATCTCAAAGTGAGCTCAGTTAAATCAGAATTTCCATTAATAAAATCATAACTTTGTCACTTAGATATATATCCAAAATTATCTTAATGTGCACAGAAATACCTTTTTTCTCAAAAAGCGTTATATAAAATTGAATAAATTTATGCAGAGTTTTACAAAGCATCATAATACATAACTGTGTATGACGAATGTTGGGAGAGAGGGATACCAGAACCAAGTTAAGATTTTTGACATTCATAGGAAATGTGATCTTCCTTAACTCGTATATGTACATAGGACATTTCCAAAGTTCTAGAAATTTAGGTATAATTTTTTTATTTGATTAATTTTCACCAGTACTGTAATTCAGTTTTTCAGCATAATCCCCGTTTAATTTAATACACTTTGTGAAAAATTTATTTTTTAAACAATCCTCAAAAAACCTTTTTGGATATCTTTCTTCTCTCTCCCCATGGCATTGTTAAATTCTCAAATCAAAAACGCAAAGATTTTTTTCGAATTTGTGAACCAGAATACTTCTTATAGACACAGAAAATTTTCTGAAGTTTTTGCACCTTCTTTCAAGAAAAGGATAGTTCCTTGCATCTTGAATAACTGCAGAAATATGGCCTAAAAGTGCACCTGTATCAGTCAGACAGTGGAATCAGAATACACAATATTGCACAGTATGGCTACATAGACATGTAAAGACTTATCTGTCAATAATGTTACCATATAAGTTCTGGGAATTGAACTACACTCATGTCCATAAATTAAGGATAACATAAATTAATGCAAAATCAGGCAAAGGAAGAGTTAGAAGCAAAATAAATTTGAATTATTATTAAACAAAAGGTAAAGAACAAAAAAAGATGCTATATGTTTGATATTATTAAAAAAATAGCGATTTTTTTCTCCCTCGAGCAACATTACAAAAAACAAAAAAAAAAAAAAAAAAAAAAAAAACTATTTACAAAAAACCAATATTACATGGTTGGTTGATTGTTAATACATTTATGTCTCCCAGACGATGCAATACAGTCCGTACAACGCCTAGGCATGCTGAGTATCAAATTATCGATCTGATCTTGGGGGATATTACACCACTCAAAAAGCAATGCTCTCCGAAGTTCCAGTAAATATGTACGAGGAGGTTGACGGGCTGCAACTCCTCGGCCAAGCATGTCCCACACGTTCTCTACTGGATTCAAGTCCGGTGAGAATGCTGGCCTTCCATACGGGTGTATCCTCCGATTGAAGGCATTCGCTACTATGTTTGCACGGTGAGGATGGGCTTGTCATCCATAAAACAATTGTGCGCCCATGGCGCCCCGCAAAACAAACGTACTGTTTGTTCCAGAATGAGTCCCACTAGATTTGGCTTTCATGGTTCCAATTGAAATTGCAGGTCAGTTCTGGAACCCAGAATAATTCCACCCCAAACCAGCACTCCTGCACCACCGTAATGGTGTCGTTCAATGATGTTTTATGGTGTTAAAGGGTACCTGGAGCTTCCATATGAAAGTCCGGCAAGAATAGACCTGCAGCTAAACCTGGACTTGTCGGAAAAAACATCACACAAGCCCACTATTGCGGTGTCCACAATGCATGCTCTCTACTCCAGGATAAACCGCAGGCGACAGGAGTTGCAGTAGTAAGTGGAAACGCATCTGACAGGTCTACGAGCATATAGACCAATCTGCCCTAAGCATTGTACACGGTCTGCCTTGAAATGTCGTACCAGTGGCTGAAGAGAGCTGACGAGAAGGTCTGAGGCTGTGCTCCGCCGTTTTTTTGGCAGTAAGCCAAATACCGGTCCTCATCGGCGTTGTAACTCAAGGGGAACCTGTGCGTAAGTCACTCACACATACCATCATCTGGATCATTGCAAACCTGGAGATACACTCTGGGCAATTCCAAGTTGTATGATACTCCAGTTGGGTACGCCACATTCCAGACGGCCGATAATTTACCACTAAAAAATCGTCCAAAGCTTCCTTTGGTCATAACTATTCGGTTATTGCACTGAAAGCTTATAAAGGCCTGCGAAAATTTTACTTCTTTGCCTGTATTCCTTATATATCACTCTATTACATCTCGTCATTGTGCCGTACCATCGGGTCATTAGGTTACTACCTGAAATTTGCATACGGTTTTGAAGATGTGTGTAGTGATTTTACAGGTGATATATTTATTTTAGAGTTCAATTTCCGCGTTACTCCGAATTATCTTTAATTTATGGACATGAGTGTAGATTGATATTGGACATGGTGTTGAGAGTGTGTGTGTATATTTGAATGGGGTAGTACTAATTAAGTTTGCCATTTCCATGCTCCATGGTAAACTGAACTTGTTTAATAAGTTACTTCACCTGAAGCAAAATATTACAAGGGAAGTGAAAAATATTTTCCCTTGGACTGGGTCGAGTTGTGATGAAAGTCAAAAAAATAATGGACATTAAAGATATGACTACCTTATTTTTCCACATAGGTACAATACCTGAGACATTGTCATACGCTTGATAAGCTTCAAAAGCCCTCCAGGAAAAAAATCGGGTTTGCATAGGGAGAAGCGTTGACGGCTTGTTCACTTCGTATTGCTTCCAAAGCGCTTTCCCCGAGATTTTTCTTCAAAGCCGGAAACAGATGGAAGCGCTTGGTGCGAGATCAGGACTGTATGGCGGTGGTGTAGGCGCTCCCAACCAAGAGTTTAATATGGTTGCGTTGCCGTCGCCGAAATTGGTCTGGCATTGTCATCCAAAGCAGAACGCCAGATGTGAGCAGGCCAGGCCGCTTTTTTGAATTGGTCTTTCAATTTCGAAGGGTGTCCACATAGCGCGTAGCATGATGGTCCAAAACTCCAAAAAAGTCCAGCAAAAAAAACTCCTGGGCGTCCAGAAAAGGAGGAGCACTTTACCGCAGAGAGGGAGTGTGGGACAGGTGATGACGGATGTTTCCACTCCATAGATGCGGCCTTCGATTTGGCGTGAAATGGTGCCCCACGTTTCAAGCCCGTCACAATCCGAACAGAAAGTCATGAATCTTCATGGTAAGCACGAGATGTTCCAGGCTGATTCCCTGCGTTGTTCCTTGTGTGTCGAGGTCATCGTGCTGACAATTTCTGTATCGAAGAAGTCGTGGATGATGTTTGAGCGCTATGTGAGATTCCAAGTTCTTCCGCTACTTCCCATGGTGATACGCCAGTTCGCTCCAATCATGTCATCCACCTTCCTGACATGCATCTGTATGGCCGGGTGCGTCGTCAGCTCGGTATGTCCTCCACTTGCTGACATCATCACTGAATGTCGACCATCTCGCACATTTGCTTCGACATCAAACCTGGCCCATAGACTTCCACGAGGGGGTTTGAATTCTGTTCCTGACTCCAGTGCCATCATAGCGGATAACCGCTCTCACTTCCTCTGACCACGAATTCAAATGCACTTTCTCATACCTACCGGGGCTCAAATGAGAGGCTGCTCTACTTTGACAGGCACTGCAACGCCATCTGCTTGATTTGCAGCACCTTACCCAATGGTATCCGTGACTTGCATGTTTTCCTGCTGTGTCGCTTTCGCCCATAGCCGTTCAACGCTTCTTCCATATGCAAAGTGTTACTCCACAAAAAGTGGAGGACTTTTTGGAGCTTATCAAGCGATATGACAAATGTCTCAACGTACTCGTACGAGAATAATAAAAAAAGGTATGTCATATCTTTAATGTCTCATTCTATATTTTGATTTCATACACAACTCTGACCACAGTCGACAGGGGAAACTTATTTTTCAACTTACCCTCGTAATAAGGTAGTATTTAATATAGGCATGGTTATTTTATGATAATTGGTAAATTTTCCTGAATTATGGAAAATATATATTTTAATTTGATATTGGCATTGGTTTCCATATACTATAGACACACTTTCTTCATTTGGTGTCACTTGTTGATCTCATCAAGAAAAGATCGTGTTGTAATCTTTCTAATTATTCAGCACTGATCAAGCAACTGTTTCGAGCACACCTACCTTTCCCGAAGCCAGGCTTTGTTCACACCTGAACACCTTTTTCAACTCCTTCATTACCATTCATGCTGATGCATGCTGGTAATTGTTTACATTTAGCACCTCGATTCACTACACGTTCTCATCTCCACGGGGCTTCCTTTCCTGCCGTACTCATGGTCGATCTTTTATTCTTGTCCCATGGTGACCTCTCCTGTGTTAAACCCCATAACAGTTCTCTTTCTTTTTTATTTAGCTAATGCTCACTCTTATTTAATTTGTTTTTCTTAATTATGACATGGAGGTAATTGCAATAAATTTGCAAAAGTACTCTGTAACCAAACACCTTGGTCCTAAAAGTAAGAAAATGAGAAGATAAGCCACCAGCATCAAATTTCTACAAGATTGTTCGTATTTTTAATGCAAATTGTGATGAGTGCAGTTCGATTTTAATAATTATTTTTTCAAAGCTATTAAACAGCAGAGAATCATATTTGACATATTTTCCTGTACGAGTTCAATTAAATATTTTGTAATACAAATATTAATGCGGTTATGGATATTGGACAAATAAGCATTCAATGGTGATTCCAGCAGCCTAGGAGATGAGCCTCTTCTTGAAAGGTCTGTAGAGTATTATGAGAACATCTTGCAAACCTTGATGGAGCAGAATCTTATCATTTGAACATTGTTATCGAATTGTTGATGTTCCACCCATTTGCATACTAAAGTAAAAATGGAAAATACATCTCTTATTTTGATAACTCATTAAGTTAATATGGTCAAAATATTATAGAATATTTTTTTAAACTGCAGTCAAGTCATCAAATACGATCAAAATAGATAATAAAAATTGCAAAGTGACAGAGAAGGGTTACCAGTTAAGTCACCATATGCTTGGTTTTGATTTTAATCAACCTTGTAAAATAAAGCCAGAAAACTAAAAGCAACTTTATTGTGGCTTGCATTCTGAATAACTCTATCAGTTTTGAGGGTGGTCAGACACAGGTCCCTCCTCTTCAGGAGAAAAGGGGAAGAAGGGAAAAATTCCTTGTCCCATGCTTTTGGAAAAAAAGTCCAGAGAAACATCTAATAAAGTTGATTTTCCTGCCTGATTTTTAATTTAACCTTGCCACGTTTTGTTTCAATGAGGATTGCTCTTCAAGAATAAGATTAGGGATTCAATATCAGTCAAGTAATTTCCAGAAACATTACGAACCATTTATAAATGAACTTTTCCATTAAAGACATTATGAACATATAGAGAAATTTATGTCTTTCCCTAATAAAATGCCAAAAAAGTAATTAGTTATGCTTTCCTGCTTATATTTATATTAAATTAGTTAAATTCCATTGCTTTTTGAAAAGATATTTTCCCCTCATCATATAACATCATTGAAATAGTTGTGGGCAAACATGATCACATTAATTGGCGCTTACTGTAGTGCCAAGAAGAGTACATTTTACGTTAAAACGCAAATCTTAATTTTGAAATGAAAAAAGAAACTGCATTTTCTTCGTCTTAATTTTGAAAATTAAAAGAAATATGAATAAAACCATAATATTTATAATATTATTCAATTTTATATCAAACAGCATGAATTTATTCTTATTTTTAGGTATAAATGTAGAGAAGATTTTGCAAATGATGCACGATTAATCTTTGATAACTGCGAGACGTTTAATGAGGATGACTCTCCGGTGGGACAGGCCGGTCATTCGATGCGAGCCTTCTTCGAAACCCGCTGGTCGGAACTGTGCACCACGTGATAGTGAGGTCCGTCTACACGTGCTTCTAAAAGATTTCTTCATTGGTCCAGAGAACACAGCTGAACACAGAGAACTGAGTGCTAACTGTGACCATGTCAAAGTGCCTGTATTTGAACATTACAGGTGGATGCACATCTGTAAACTGATTGTACTTTCATTTTTATATCAAATCGCACAAACTCTAGGCAGTGTTACATAAGACATTATTGTATGGTCGGTATTGTCATTTCACATACTCATCACCTAATTTATGCTTAATTTAATCAATGTATTTCTCCACTGTGTTTCGTCTCCTCACTTATTTGTATTTTAGAACTATTTTTACATTGCTGTTATAACAACTCATTTTCATGTCATAAAATATGAGTTTTCTGCGGGGTCAATGCATATTAGTACCAACTTAAGCAGAAGTTTATTTTCTTCAAGTTGTTGATACTTGAGTAAAAATTGCTCAAATTGCCATTTGATTCACTTTGATCATCGTCATCGCTCCTAGGCCGACTTCTTTATTATGTTCTGTTGATTTATTTGTACGCATGTCAGTGTTTTATCATGAATTCAAGGTTTTGTGTGTCTCACAATGTTCACAGTGTAATATTTTTCAGGGAAATCATTAGGTTTTTATTCTGGTAAAATTCCACTGACTGTAGTGTGAGAAAAAGTAAAATATATACCTCACAGGATCACAACGTATGTTCTCCAGCAGCTTTGTAAAGAATTTTGAACTTTTAATGATGCTTAAGATATATTTATTATCTCTGTCAATGAAATAAATAAAAATAATCGAAAACTTATGTATGTTCTTCCCTGCATAAGTTTATTTCATAACCGATTGCAGTGAGTAGAGTTTTTCGATTCTGTAAATTATATCCAGTGTGCTACGAGAGGTGAAGCTTAGAGATGAAAAGAAACGTGGTTATGTTGCTGATGTATATGATACATTATCACTCATTCGAGGGTTAATATTCTTATTAACCTTGTTAACCGCAAGATGTAAAATATTCCCCGGTGATGTCGTCATGATAGTTAAAAAGAAACTCGCTGTGCAGTGCATGCTGAAATTATTTTTTAGCTCACTGAAATAGATAAATTTAAATAGTTTCCCAGTGCATTTTATCAGCTGTATGTTAATTTTTAAGAGGTGTTTATATTTCTAATAAGCTTCCTGTGTATTAATTTCCACTTTCTTACATTTCATATCATAAATACTAGCATTAATTCTGTTTTCAGATTTTTAAAATGCATTTCAATTTTGAAAATGTATATATATATAGTGGTGTTACGAAATGAATAACAACTCAGGAAGAAATTATTAAAATGAGTTTTCCGAGCAGCCATAGCTATTCCCGGGAAAGCGGGTTACGTTTCGTGGAATTACAATTTAGCGGCATATGAAATTATTTGTTTTTTCTTTTTGTCTTTCTTTAAACTGCCAAATCTTTGCAATTTTTAATACTCGTGTATGTAAATATGCTTAAAATAATCTTTTATGTGCATTTGTAGTATAATTTCTGTAACCTAATTAAGGGGGAATTTTCAAAATCATTTTCAATACCATTGGGTTGTAAGTGAATAACCATGACAGCTATTCACTTGAATTTTGAACCAAAAAATGTACTGCAAAGTTTTGTTATTAAATTCCCATTAATTGCTGGGTTCTAGAGAAGGCAACAGCATTATGTGTTTTATGTGACATGCAATAATTGCATTTTATGTGCACTCACATAGTGAGTTTGATTTGTTGTGGCTTTCTGTGTCTGCCCGTTTAGTATGTACATTATGGCTAAAAGCCAAATAGTTTTAAAATAAGCCATGTTTTATATTTTGAAGTCCATGTACAAAGTACCTCGTATCAGTGTGTTGATTGTTCACAGTGAAACAAATTTGGGTAACACTACACCATGAGATCATCAGAGGCAAACTTCTGCACCAGACAGTGTCTTCATGATAACTAATTGACTGTATACCTCCAGCATAAGAAAGACTGCTCTTCTCGTTCGGCAAGTTTATTGTCGGGCGATTAGTTATAGGTTGTGACATAAAGGAAAACTGCCAGAATTTGTCTCAACAGTTATTGTATAGTTTGTATAAGATAATAAAATCATGAGATTCCTTTGATTCTATGTGTTGTGTAATTTCATTTTAAATGTAATTTTGTTATTATAATTACAAGCATAAAGTTTATAATACCACATCTGGCAACCTTGTAATACAAAAGACTGGAAGGTTCGCATCTAAAAGCCAGGAATTTGGGGAAGGTTTTTGAGCTTGGGACAACACTGTTTCCAGATACCTTTAAAATGACTTCACTTTGTGATTCCAGTGTAAAATATATTAATATTTAATTTACATAGTCTAAAATTTATGTTCTTTGGCTAGTTTCGTTTTCTAATTTTACAAGGATATAGAAAGGATCCTGAAATTATTTGCTAAACACACATACAAAGCAGTCTATATATTTAAAAAAAAAAAACTAAAATATATGTATTTATTTTTTAAAGATAACACAAAACAATATATAAAATGTAAATATGCGTAATTTTTTTTTGTTTTCATATTCTTGTTTATTTAGTTATATACTTTTATTTTTAATAAATACACATCAACTCCTCATGGAGAAAGGCCCCTATACATTAGTGATGTGTTGGTAACTGCCTTGGCACTGCCCTAACTATGGCAAGCAATAGATTTGAGCTGTGAGCTCTACGTTTTATATCGGGCATTAAAGTCTATCCCTTATGCCCAAAATAGAGAACAATCTCCTACCCAATATTTTGCATTGGTTACCAGAGAAGCCAACTGCTGTCCTGTCTCGGAGATGTTCTCCGCGGTTTTGAAGTCCATGAGTTCGTGGACTTGATCTGATGTTACTGTCGACCAGGTGGGATAAGCCAGAAAACAGTATACGAATAAACATAAATTATACAAATAAAATAAATAGTTTTGTTTCTGAAATTAAGAAATTTTTAGACAGTTTTAATTTTAAAACATAAAACAAAGGGAGGACCTGAAAAGAAGCAAAACTGAACATTGTTTTAACTGCTGTCTACAATGAAAACTTTAGTTTTACTGCTACCAATGTAGATTTCTTCATGACAGCTTCTCTATCCCAACAGCCTGAAATTCTAGATACATTCACCTGAGCAAAGCCTTGTAAAACAGTAACTGCAGACGGGATTTTTTATTTTTTATGTAAAAGAACAATAAGTTTGTAAATTAGCCAAAAAATGCCATTAGTTTCAAAAATAGTCAAACTTTTGCATTAACTCATAAATACAGTTTAATTTAGGTATTGCACATTCATCAGAGTGATATTTTCAATTAGGTAAAACAGTTTTAAATCGTGTAGTATTTCTAATGCGTGAATATTCTAAACTAAAAGTTTGAGTAATGATTCCATGAAATAAACAATGAAATGTATTTCATGCATTTGAATAGTACACAAATGATGATATTCAGCATAAAAATTTAGCATAAGTAACCAAGTAATTATCATTGACTGCAATTTTATTGCAGCTGAGACCAATCTTATTCAGTTTTGCCATTACAGTGAACAATAGATGTAGTGCTTCACACAGAAGCTGAGAATGCTTAGGCAAAAGGGAACGAACTACAAAATTACTGTACAGAAAAGTTTCTAAGGCAGTAGTTCTCAAACTGCTTTGTCCCATGCACTGTCATCCTCCCCTTTTCAAAACTCGAAAAATACATATATACATATAGCATTCTGCTTTGACATTAATTTAGATTAGATTATTCTTAATGTATTTTATAAATTAAAAAACAAAAAATGAAGAAAATATTGATAAATACTAAAACTCGAATAAAAGTAGTTTTTTAATTATTATTATTCATAAATATGTAACAGCTAGAAAAGGCCTGCTGCATCCTCCTTTAAACTCTCCAAAAATTGCTCAAAAAAAAATTTTTTTTTTTTTTTTTTTTGAGTGGAGATTTTTTTTTAACTCTTTTCTGATTAATATGTCAGATTATTTTTAAAGAATGCCTGTAGTAAAAACTTGCTTTTTAGTAAAATGTTTCCCTCATTTGATTTGATCTTTGGTTGCCAAAATCATAATAAAAATTTCAGTGTTGCACCAATTACTTCGAAACTGGCATATTAAATTGAAGAGTTTGGTGTTTTGTGCAGTAGAATATTAATGTGTCCACTTGGAATAATTCATGTAATAGTGAACTTGTTATAAAAATGTGGATGGCCAAGGATCAGATCTCATTTGAGAGTATTCAACATGTTTACAAAAACCCAGCTTTTCAGCATGCAAGCGATTAATTTTTTTTAATAAATTTCTTTTTATTCTAATCTAATATTTACATATCCTGAATTTTTAAGATCTAGGAGCTTTTCCTAGATAGGTTGAAGCAAGGCCAGCAGCCTGTATAGGAAAAGCTGTACATTGCTATAGGTATGTATTAGCTATTGATTGGCCTTGCTAACTGTTAAGCTGACACCCAAATTTTGACGGAGAACATTCCAGGGGATGGTTTGAGGATTTACCACTCCACTTGCCTTACCACCAACCACTGGAGAAGACTTTCAGCTCACCTTTATTCTAAGTGCCCCCTTATCATACAGACACTATAAGTTTACAAACATCTTTGCCTTCTGTGGGGTTTGTAACGGTGCCCATTGGTACAGCAGTCAGCTTCACTGTATCACTAACCACTATATCATCTGCTTTAAATATACCATGCAATTTCATATGCGGCACTTCCCAAACAGTGAAACCTCAGATCATGAATAAATTATCAGAACAAAATAAACTTCATACGGTGAATGTGTCTCAAACTATGGAGCTGGCAAACTTTAAGCATTTTTGTCTTTCTGGGAAAAATCATGGTCTAGAAAGTTGATACTGAAGCCATGATTGGTTTGGTTTGGTTTGGTTTATTTAATTATGGCAAAGCACACTAGGGTTATCTGCCCTAAGAGAAGGAATGCCTTGTATACACGTTACACATGGGGAAAACCACGAAAACGCCCATGCAGAAAGCCTGTTTGCGGGATTTGAACCTTGGACCCGAACTACCGGTGTTCAGCGACTTTACCGCTCGGCCGCTGGTGGGCTACTGAAGCCATGAAGAAATTATTAGAGGGATATAAAATTGAGCTCAACGAGGAAGATTTACAACAATAATAAACAATGAATGTGAAAGAAATGTCTCTAGAGAAAGAAGGGGGAAAAGTTCTTGTACAATACCACAGGCTAAAAAGTTTAGAATGAAGATGTAAGAGAAGTTATTAGAGGGCCATGAAAATGAGATCAGCAAGAAAGATTTACAAATTCAGATGCAGGAACAAAAAATAATAATTATGGGAGGAATATCTTCAGAAGAAGAGGAAAAAATCTTAATTCTCTGATTCACAAAATTTTTGCTAAATGGGATATGATGCAAAGTTTTCATATAAGGATATCATACTTAAGTAAAGCAGTAGGAAGCTACAGCATAAGCATTTTCAATGACAATGCTATCTTCCACTTTAGAAACATTTTAAAACATACGCAATAGCAAATCATAAACAAGCTTTGTGTGAAACAGGCACAAGGAAAGTCAAATAAAGAGTCCAATGGCACTTAAGAGACAAAGAAAAGATTTAAAAAAGATGCCTTCCATGGAACCCTCTAACCAGATACTTTTATGGAAGGAAATTTCACATTCAAACAGTAACATCTTTCTCATATCATTTTCTACTTTTCTCACCATTTTCCACACTCTGTTCTCTAGTTTCACTAATATTAAGTCTTATATTTTATATCTTAAATTAATAGTTTAATAATATGCTTTTGGTTTCATAGTTACCGATTTTCACTGGTTTGAGTTAGGAACTTGTGTACTGTTGTAAACTTAAAAACAATCAGGTGATCTGAGAATGGATTAATACATATTACAATAATTCGTATGGGGAAAACTGTGTCTTAGGAATATTTCGGTTGACCTTCAGGAAGGAATTAAATTCGTGGACTGAAGTTTCACTATACATAAACAAGCCATAATTCATGGGAAATTCATACAGTGGCTTACTCTTCTTCCTGTATACTTGTGCTTCTGAAATTTAATTGCAAAATACACTTACTAAATATTATAACATATGTCTTTATGAAAAACATTAGTTGTTCACAAAGAATTTTTTTTGGGGGGGGGTACATATACTGTTGCTTATCGCTTTCAAAACTGTGTATGGTAAAAGAATGTGTTCAAAACATTTCTTAAAGTGTGACCGCGAGATCTACATAAACTGATAACTATACAAGTTCTTTTACAAATTTAGATGGGTATTTAGACGTGATGCAAAAAGCATTGATGTAAAATGTCCAACTCTACTCGATGCTGCAACATGACAGATACTGGCTGGATAATTTAAAACTGTCTTGAAATGAAGATCTATTTAAGGTTGGAGGTTTGTAAAAAAATCAAGCAAAACTCAAGATTTAATGCTGGAAAACTAGCAGCTGAATGTAATGAAACTTATTCTCCATACAAATCCGTCAAAGCATATTTATAGAACAGCTAAGAGGCAAGAAAGGAATTAATTATGAAAAGTTGGGGGGGGGGAAGGGATGCTATACTTGCTGTAAACCATATTAACATAATGCAGTATTTGTAAGCTAGTCAAAATTTACTACATTTGGATCAATGAAAAGAATTATTGTGAGGCAAGAGTCCATTGAAAAATTAAATCTGAAAGCACTGTTGCTTTCTATTATACGAAGATATGTCAATGGTTTGGAGATATTTTTCTACTTTAGTTATGGGAAATTCAAGTATGATAATAGACACAATAGATCAATTTAAAAATAAAGAAAGTCTGAAAATATTTCCACACAAGCTTGGGATGTAATATGCACCTTAAATTGTATCAGGATAATAATCCAAAACTTTAAGCTCTGTATGTTCACATACAGTTATTGTGCAGTTCTAAAATTCCTTCATATTGTTCACACTTAAGCCTTACGGAACATGTACAAGTGAACTGGAGAAGAAAACTTGGCAATGTGCTATTTTTTCAAAAGCACAAGTAAATGCAATTTCTTAAAAAAGGAATGGAACAAAATCGAAAACTACTACACAAAGCATTAAATTAATTCATGCCAAGAATG